ATCAAGAATTAAAAAATATAAATTAATAGAAAAATATTTTTAATGATAACAAATATTAGCAAAATAATTAATTAAAAAAATTATAAATCAAATAAGTTATTCTGCCTACCCTTAATGGAATGGAGTGGAATCGGCGTGGCTGAACTATGTAAAACGAAAGTAGGGGTGTTCGTTGTCTGGACTGGATCTGTTTTGAAGCAAAAATTATCTGATTCAATACTTTTTGTTTGATCATTTAATCATTCATTCGGTTTGAATTTTTTTTAAATCTGATTCAATCCAATCCAATCCAATTTTATTCGATTTGGATTGGATCAGTTTTTATTTTTTTAAAAGGTTAAAATTTCAATCATACAAATCACTAACTATATTAAAATAAAGTCATTCAAAATTACAAACCACTGAAAAATTCAAGTCTTCAAACTAACTTAAGTCTTAAAACTCATTGAAGAGTTAAAATAGATTAATAGACAATAAAAACCTAAAATAAGATAGTTTGCTATCAATAACATCAAAGATTCAAAGTCTACACAATAAAAAGATTTCAAGTCAACATCTTTCGAAAATAATAAATAAATAATATATTGGATCGGTTTTTACCGATCAAACTGAAAACTGATCAAATCCATTTAAAATATGCAAAAAAAAGTCAATTTTCTATTAATTCGATTATCATTTTGTTTTTTCAATTGACGAACATTCCTAGAAAATAGGTTGCTTTATTCCTAGTGCACAATTTTGCTCGGCCGTTGGCAATTGGCGTGGAGAGAACACACGAGAGTGATATTAACTTGGAAATATTGATGAGCGGTAGGCGTTGACGAGGACAATTGAGTCAGGTGGGGGGAGCGACAAAGAGGAAGGGAGTGGAGTCTGCGGTGGTAGGATATGGTGTGATAGAGAGAAAGGGGAGGAGATAGAAAGGTTTGCAAGTTAAAGGAGAAAGAAAGGAAAAAAAAATTATTTTATTTCACAAATCTTCACTATTGAATAAGATTGTATTCTAGCTGTGTTGAGAAGGGTGAGCAAAGGTAAGCAGAATAACATATCCCATTATGAATTAAAAAAACTAAAATAATATGTTTCAATTCTTAAAATAAATTAAAGGGTTTGTTTTTTCTGTAGTCACTACGTATAAGTTATTGCATTGAACCTAATATGACATCATTTTAGGACAAAAATCATGATATTTTTGTAATTTTAATTTATTTTTTGTAATTTTAAAGTATTTACAATGAAGAGGAGGGCTCAGAACCCAAGGATAAGGTGGTGGAAGCTTAAGGAGGGAAAAGAGAGAGAGTTCAATGAAAGAATGTTGCTCGAAGGACCTTGGGAGTTTGATGGAGGAGTAAATGCAAAATGGAATGAGATGGCTAAGTGTATTCAAAATTTGGGAAGGAGGGTGTTGGGAGAAAGCAAAGAAAATGAATTTCATACAAAGGAAACATGGTGGCGGAATGGAGAGGTGCAAGAGGCAATTAAACATAAGAAGGATTGCTTTAGATCTTTGCATAAAAGTCCCAGTGAAGAGAACTTGCAAAAGTTTAGATTGGCGAGAAAAAATGCAAAGAAAGCTGTGCGAGAAGCTAGAGGCAAGGTTTACGACGAGTTGTATAAAAATCTTGGGAGCAAGAATTGTGAAAGAGATATTTATAAACTTGCAAAGATAAGGGATAAGAAAAGTAAAGACCTCACCCAAGTTAGATGCATCAAGGATGAAAATCAAAAACTTCTGGTGAGAGATGAAGATGTAAATGAAAGATGGTTGAACTATTTCAACAAGCTTTTTAATGGGGATGGAGATACAAGCGAGGTGGACTTGGAGGACGCGTATGATGATATGAATAGAAGATTTGTTCGCAAAATTAATACACATGAAGTTAAGGAGGTTTTAAAGAGGATGAAGACTAATAAAGCCTTGGGGCCTGATGGTGTCCCTATTGAAGTGTGGAGAGGCCTGGGGGATGTGGCAATAAAATGGTTGACCAATCTTTTCAATAAGATTCTCCAGACAAATAAGATGCCTGATGCATGGAGGAAAAGTATGATTGTGCCTATCAACAAAAACAAGGGAGATATACATAATTGTTCAAATTATAGAGGCATTAAGCTAATGAGCCATACCATGAAGTTGTGGGAGAGGGTTATTGAACGTCGCTTGAGGAGAGATACCAAGGTTTCTGTAAATCAATTTGGATTTATGCCAGAAAGATGTACCATGGAAGCCATTTTTTGATGCGACAACTAATGGAAAGATACCGAGAAAAGAAGAAGGACTTGCATATGGTGTTCATAGACCTTGAGAAAGCATACGATAGGGTTCCAAGGAAAGTTTTATGGTGGGTTCTGGAGAAGAAAAAGGTTCCATCAAAGTATGTAAAGGCCATCAAGGATATGTATGATGGGGCTACTACACGTGTAAAAGCTTGTAACGGAACATCAAGTTATTTTCCTATCACGGTAGGTGTACACTAAGGGTCGACTTTAACTCCTTATCTCTTTGCCTTAGTTATGGATGAACTAACAAAAGATATTCAAGAGGAAGTGTCTTGGTGTATGCTTTTTGCAGACGATATTGTGCTTATTGATGAGAGCAAGGAGGGTGTTAATAGAAAATTTGAATTGTGGAGAAGCATATTGGAATCCAAAAGATTCACATTAAGTCGAAGCAAGACTGAGTATCTGAAGTGTGAGTTTTCGGTGGTACGAGATGGGGACCAAGAGTCCGTGCATTTAAGTGATCAAGAGGTACCCAAAAAAGATACTTTTAAATACTTGAGCTCCATTTTACAAAAAGGTGGAGAGATTGATGAGGATGTAAACCACAGAATCAGTGCAGGGTGGATGAAATGGCGCAGTGCATCTGGGTTTTTGTGTGTCCGCAAAATTCCTCTTAAGTTAAAAGGAAAATTCTATCAAACGACAGTAAGACCGGCAATGCTATATGGCGCGGAATGCTGGCCAACACATAGGCAACATGAGCATAAGATGAGAGTAGCAGAGATGAGGATGTTAAGGTGGATGTGTGGTTACACAAGGATGGATAAGATAAGAAATGAAGATATTCGACGAAAGGTCGGAGTAGTACCAGTAGCCGAGAAGATGAGAGAACATAGATTGAGGTGGTTTGGGTACGTGATGAGAAGGCCCCTGGATGCTCCTGTAAGAACAGAAGTTTGTTACCAAGAGCTCAACACAAAAAGAGGCAGAGGTAGGCCGAAACTTACTTGGGGGAAGGTGGTAAAACAAGATTTAATGGAGAGGGATATAGATTGGCGGACGGTATGTCTTAGAACGGAATGGAGAAAAGCTATAAGTATGGTGGAGGGTTAGACCTGTTGTTATTTCTATGTTTCCGATGGTCCTTTTTTAGTCTTTTTCCCCTTCATCTCCCCCACTTCTTCTTGTCCCTTACTTTTTTACTATTATTTATTTATATACATATATATATATTTTATTTTATTTTATTATTTTATTATTTTATTTTATTTTTTTTCAACTGTTTTGTATCTTTCATGTGTGTTCATCTACCACCGACCCCAATTAATTTGGGATAAATGTGATGTTGATGTTGATGTTGAATCTTTCATCAAAACGACGTTGTTTTGGGAGTTAATGCAGATAACTTGTTTGTAGTTATTGCAGAAATATTTTTCAGTAAATTAAAAGATTTAACCCTAACCTAGAGAATACCTTAATTTAATGAGATATGTTATTCTATCTATCTTTTTTTTTTTCTGCCTACCACTCTCCAATATCATTAAATCATAATCTCAACTACCTTTATCATTTCTCTCTCCTATTGAGATTCTGATCTAAGGGCATGTTTGGTGCATAGTATATGATAAGGCCTGATAGTTTAAGACCTGATAGTATAAGATATGATTGAATTTTAATACTATCCAGCGTTTGGCACGGTATTGTATAAAATAATATATTGTATAAGATAATATCACTTAGTATTTGATAATCCAATGTATAATGCTATATAGGATAAAAATAAATATTTTTAATAAAAATATCCTTTAATAAAAATTTATATAATTCTTCAAAAAATGTCATATGATTTTAATTTTTATAAAAATTTATTGATTAATGTGTCCAAAACATAAATTAATTTTTATAAAAATAAAAATATTCAATATTTTAGAAATTAATATATTGAAAATTTAATTTTTATTTTAATATATTAATATTAAAATAATATATTAATTTTTGAGAATTGCACTGGTCAACGATGTTAATACATTAATATCTTATCAGGCCTTATCCCTCCCTTTTAGGCCGGATTGAGTTATACATCGTTTTGATATATTAATGGGATTCTGCTGTATAAACTTATACTAAACGATGGTCACACCAAACAAGTGAAAATATCATAACGTATAGTATAAATTTATACTATCAAGCCTTATACGTTAATACGTCACACCAAACATACCCTAATAGTGTTAAAAGAGTAGTAGACAAAGTTAAGCAGACAAAAAAAAAAGGTAAAATAAGTTATCCCTAATTTAATATATAAAAGTACATATATAGAAGCGAATTATATTTTATATTTTTGATTCGATTGTAAGACATTAAATATGAACAAATAATGTTTTTTTTAAAAAAAAAATATATGAACAAATAATGTTTTTTTTAAAAAATATGAACAAATAATGCTGGTTATTCATTTGTGACCAGATGGTGGATTGAGATTCATCCCAAAATCTTTTCAGTGAATCATCACAGAATCGTGGTCCACGAGGTCTCTGTGACAGAATTGTGGAACATGTGTTAGTATGTTCCACTTCATAATTCATATGTAAGTAGGTCCAAACCGAGAAAGCGATTGTTCACCCTTCCAAATTATGATTTTTTATTTATCTATTTTTGTGACATCATATTCATGCTTTTGTAAATTGTTTTTGTATTTTGGTACAACCGTACAACGTTATTATTATTATTTTTTGGTAAATACAACGTTATTTTACTTGAACAATAACGAGGAATCATAATCTCATTTTTACTGTAAGACCCTATTGACCTCTCTCAGAGTCACCGAAAGAAGGACCTATGCTTCTCAATCACTTGCAGACTTGTCACCCATGGATTCTACCTTCACCTCGACTTCCAAGACATACCCACTTCTCAACAACCACCCACAGTACGAGGTAATTTATGTTGTTTAGTAATTTATGTTACTTATGATAGTTTAATGTCGACTTCAATGGATTTGCATATCCTCAAGGGAGTACCTATGATCCATTCCACTATTGCTAAACAATCAATTGGGTTTTCTAGATTTTAATTGAATATGTTGTTTGGAAAATTCTTTGTTTGATTGCTGGTGATGCTTCACAGGAAGTTTACGCCTTGCCACTTCAGCTTGATCAAATCTTCAGCATTGCATGCACATGGTTTTAGAGCATACAGTGAAGGTGAGCTCCCTGAGTCAAGAGAAAACAATAATAGAGCTCAAAGATTAAATAATGCTGCTTTGTTTGAGCATACAAGATCTTAAACTTAGTCAGTCAATATTGAGTTTGTGTTGGGTAAGATGCTCTTGACTTCTTGTTTATCGTAAAACTGAGTAAAGAGATTTAAGTACCTACTTAAATATTATTTTTAGCTTCATTAGTATCAAGAGATAATCCAAATTTCAGTGAACTAAAGTTTTTTTTTTGTATAACTCTGAATAGCTGAAATGGCCTTAGTCTGTAATTGACTGCCTTTTTTTTTTATTAATCATTTCTCTCATGAGTTACAGCTCTGTCTCAAGCTTGTACAATTGGAGTTTATCTGTGATTTTGGATTTTTTGATGACTTGGTTCATTGTTTATACTGCTCTTATGTTACTGATCTAGTCCTCACTCCTCAGCCCATTAGTATTTCTTGTAGTTGACTGATGAAATTCATTCTTTCACTTTCTTTATCCCGGTTCAGCTTTTGGATTCATTATTTGCCTCCGTAGTTGGCTGTCATGTATAATTTTCTTCTCCTGGTCACTTTTTTTGTCAACAAATATTTGTACAAAACATCCAGTTACATGGACACAGTTGTGTTATTTTTGGCTTTCTTTGACAAACTGATATTTGGGTTATTCATATTTCATCATGGGGCACTACTTGAACTTTCAATTGATTGCAAACATTTGAGATTAATAAGAACCATCATTTGTCATTCTGAGGAATAGACGATATGTGATGCTACTTTTATTTGCTGAGGTATATGACTTGGGACAGAGGCAAGTCAATAATCAAATCCCATAGGATGCCGAGCTAGAGTTCTCTTACTTTTGCCCATCTACCTGCTTCTATTCATCCTCTATAATATTATTTGGGAAAAGGCCGTTGCGTATGGTTTGATAAGTTTATTAGTTGTTTTATGACTAGTTCTAATGTGTTGTACACTCTTTTATTCTTCTTCTTGTGTCTATGAAATTGTAAAATGAGTGATCCAACAAATGTCATCTTGTCTCTTTTTAAACAGCGTTGATAGGGTCACAAGTCTTACATTGTTTAAAGTTATTTGATCTTGAATTTTCATTTTATATTTGTATTTTATCAAAGGTTTCAAACCAGTCCTCAGCTATATCTTTTTAAAGCTTTTATTGGTTTTGGCTGTTTTTTTTCCTGTTTCTGAATAGATGTCTAGCATCTGTTAACTATGCTAGCTTCATAAGAAATAAAGGAGGCTTCCACTTGCTTTCTGATTGGGCTCATGATATATGCATATAACACACTAAGAAACTTCACCAAATGTGAAAAGCTAATTAATGATTCATACTGTCATAATTATGAAACTTCATTTCCAGCATATCTTTGGTTTTTAATTTTTTTTTATTGGGTAGATCTTAGTGCCTTTCTTAATGGATTTGTCTTTTGCAAGATGTTTATAGATTGTTTTCTATCTCCTTTTCTTTTTTGTTCAATTTTTTTTTCTGGATTTGTTATTTTCCACGAGCTTCTACATTGTTTTACTGGAGGTCTTTGATCTGTAATCAACTTTTATTATTCTTTAATCCTCCTTTTCTTTTGGCAGAATTTAATTATGTTATTTCAGTTTTTTAATATGTGCTTTTTTGTTGTCCATCTTATTTTTGCCCATAATATCTGCTCTTTCTTGTTTGATTTGAAATAATTTATATGAGCTGATTTGATTGGCTGTTCTTATGTAAAACTGAGAGGTCAATTGGTGAAATAATTTATAGGGAGATGGGAGGATGTTTCTCACGGGTCAGAAGTTGAGTCAAATTCCAACACTTGTAAACATGTTCCGGAAAATTTGAACACCAAGTGCATTTGGATGGACAAAAATAATAATGGTTGTCAGGTAAGAAATGTATGAGAACACTAATTATATAAATTTGTTGAGGATATATATAGTAATTGTCCTATTTTCTTAGGATTCAGTGCACATTGTTCCTTCCCTTCGTGCTGGTATTTATACTTTTGGCAATTTATTTATATATATATATATATATATTTTTTCATACATGCAGTTTCAACGTTGTATCTGATGATGTATCACTTATTTAGAGTTATAGTTGATTAATATTATTGTAGTTTTTTATCCATATTCCTGATTTTTAAGAATGTTGTGCATGTGAGCAACTATATTTTAAGCACTAATGTCCCAGTCAGTAGTGTCTGATAATAGAGAAAGGAAAACAAATTATAGTGATGTTGGCCAAAAAAAGAAGAAAAAACTGCTTGTAGGATTGCTTATTAAACATATTCCATGTTTTGCTGTTTCTTTTACACAAGTAAGGATTTTTGGAAATGCTGTTTGGATTATTAGTTTAATCTCATTACATAATAAGCCCAATATTTGCAATGGGGGATGAATGCCAACTATAACTTGTATGACGTTATGTATTAACTTGCACCGCCGACAAAGAAGAATAAAAGTCTTATAACTTTTTTTTTTTTTTTTGAATTCCTATTTTCTTCTTCGTTACTTATGCAATTTCTGTGTCACAATAACTATTTGTATATGGATTTTATCCTTCTTTTTTAATTCTCTGTTTTCTTTTGTGTACAGACTGTACACACTCTTTACTGTTTCATGCGCACAACAGAGTAACGTGCACTCTGTTTTTAATGCATAAAAGTAAAATATTTTACTGTTTTTTTGGTCCTTAGCACCGGAAGGGTGCCTTTGACTACTTTTCTTATTTCCGAGTAGCTTCAACCCTCTGTTAAAACATATCCATATAGAGAATGTGTTAGTAAATGGCACCATCGTTGCTTGGTATGTGGGCCTACATTTCTGAACTTAATCAAAAGAAGATGCTCTAAGTATAGATGGCACATCGTAGATTAAATGAATGCCATAAAAAGCTAATCCAATTATACTTAGTGGCGTATGGGAATTAGAAGTGAACACAAATATCCTTTATTTACTTTCCATATTTTAAAATGAGAGATGGACAGCTGAAGTCTAAGATTTAGGCTTTTGTTTGTTCTATGATGCTTAATATTATTTATGTTTCTAGTTTATTAATGCATAAGAGATAACACAAAGCACTATCTTTTTGACATTCCTGTCATTTGTTTTGCCATTCTAAAACTCAGTAATTTGACTTGCAATAGTTAGTTGTATGTGTTGAGATATATAAAACCATTAATGTAGCCTCACCCAACAGCTTAAGCTTTTGGGTTGAATTGGTTCTTTACATGGTATCAAAAGCCTCGTGTCCCGGGTTCGATCCTCGCCGCCCCCCACTCTATTTCAAGTGGAATTTCTTTGTTCGCACAGGTAGATGGGCTTGTGCATTGTCCACCCTTCAAGTCCAATTGGCTCTCGTGTGAGGGGGCGTGTTGAGGTATATAAAACCATTAATGTAGCCTCACCCAACAGCGTAAGCTTTTGGGTTGAATTGGTTCTTTACAGTATGTATGCATGTGTGTTAGACTGTTAGCTACTTGCCATTTGAGTGAGCAGCTGACAAATGTCGTGCGGTTGCTGCTCACTCCTATTGGAGGTTTTGGAAGGAAGAAGGGGAAGATGTTTTGGGTAGTTGTATGATGTTTACAATGCTATTGTGTCTTTGCTGAAATGTAATGTTGAAAATTTTGTGGATAAGTTCATGCATCAAACTTCTATGGATTTCCTTTTTGACATCGTTAATTCGTTATGGTGTTTTTCAAATTTTTAAAGCTGTTTCTCAAAGGATATTCAAAAGATTCTTGTCTGAGACGTTTATTTAGCATTATTCCTTTTATTTCTGGACCTGAATTTTCATTCTTTTTGATAATGACATCGCTTTGAATTTCTGATACTTGAATGAGCTTTCTTAAAAATGTCATCTTTATACCTAGAGAGCTACATTGTATCATCACTAGGTCAGCCTGACTTTTTGGAAGTACGGAAGTTTGTATTTCATTTATGACCAATTCTATAATGGAACTTATATACCTGTCTTGAGTTGTAATATTTGCTGAATCATAGTGGACTTGTGGTTTGATGTGCTCATCAATTTATAACTTATGGAAGGTTTATAAAGCTGACTTATGTGCAGGTTTGAAGGTGTTTTTATTGAAGTATTTGTTTATTATGCTCTTTGAACAAATTATGACAATGTTTGCATTATGTTATCAGTTGGATCTTTGGACTATTGTGTAAAAATGAAATAAATATTCTTGTTAATGGATATAAACTTTCTTCAAATTCTTTGTTTATGTCAGTACCATGGTTGTTTTATGCTTAAATATGTTGGATTAATGTATGTATTATTAGGTTTTGGCTTGTTAGACTTTGCAGTATTTACTATTTAGTGTTTGCTAAATCTCTCAAAACACTCTATGTACTGCAGGGTCCACAGGCTAAAAGCATGATACAACCCATGTCATTGTACTTAATGCTGAGATTGACACATAAGAAGTTTTTTGATCTGATGGTAAATGTTGTCCAAGCAATACTTCCAGATGTGCTTCAGACTCTTAGTGCAACAAGCTTGCCTCTTGCTTGTGTTTCTAATGCCTTGAACAAACCTAAGCCGCTTCAATTAGATGTGTCCTTGCCATCTTTTAATGATATTAGATGGAGCTTAGCACGGTTGTTGTACTTATTTAACATCCAACTTGAGAGAAATGTTGCCACGTAAGTTAATCACTGCATCATTTTTTTTTTAGGAAAACTCAATTCATCATTTATTTGGCTGAGAACTTTTCTATTACTGGTTATTTAATAAATTTTAAGCTCCCTATTTGACTAAAGCCTTGTAAGTTGCATTTGGTGTGTTTATAATTATATTGGTATAAGATGATTGTATCAATATAGAAGCATCAATTTGTTGATGTGACAGGGCTTAAAGGCAAATAATATGCTATATATGTCATCTTGCAAATGAATTCCATAGGTGTGTACTTTTAGTTTGTTGTCAAGCTAAAATGGTTTATTTGTCGTAGGGATGACTTCATAACTTGGTTGCCATTTTATTATTAATTTGGTTTATAATGTTCATGAATTTACTGTATCCGGAAACCAACTTTCTTTGTGAAAGAATGGCAGCATTTGGGATTTATGGTCATCTATGCTTGCACTATATTCATCTTGGAGAATTGGAAAGATATTTTGATTTATAATATGAGACATGAGTCTGCAGGAGGCTTTTGGAAAAACTGTTGTGATTCATTTCAGGAGCTTTCAGGAAAAAAAAGCAGAATGTAAACATGCCTCTTTTATGGGGATTAAGTGCATATGGTTAGAAAGAAGCACAAAAATGTTTAAGGATCAATACACTCTTTAGAATTACCTTTAGGTAGGAAAGTTACATTGCTCCCTTGGGTGCTATGTTTCTGGAACACTTTGGTTACTCTGTTGCAGCTATTCGAAGGGACCATGAAGCTTACTTATTTGAGGCCAAGAAGGGTTACTGAGAATTTGTCTTGTAAAAACTGCGTAATTTACCAGGAGGCTTACGTATCTGAGGCCAAGAAGGGTTACTGAGAATTTGTCTGAACACTTGGTAAAAAAATGTGTAATTTACCAGGAAGCTTACTTATTTGAGGCCATGAAGGGTAACTGAGAATTTGTCTAAAGACTTAGTAGAAAATGTGTAATTTAAGCAGCTTTATTCTATGAATGGAGCGAATCGGTCTTGTTTATTTTTCAAACTATTACCTGGTATAAAAAAGTAAGGATATACATGCTTGTTGTCTGAATGAAGCATATGGACTCTTTCAGGTTCTTTGTGGTGCTCCTTTTAGCTTGCTTCTCATTTGTTGTCATTGGTGGTCTCCTGTTCTTCAAATTCAGGTAGTCATGGATAAATTTTATTAAACCATTCTTATATTTTGGTTTCCTTACTGTAAATGGAATTGTCTCCACTCCCTGGAAGCCTAGACAAGAAGAAAAGAAATATTTAATCTTTCTTTTTTACTTAAATTCAAAACCTATGGTACTCACGTTCTTCTATTTGTTATGATTGAGTTATGAGATTTATTTTTATGGCTGTCCACTTTGCTACCAACCTAGTTAGGTCCTGGCAGCTGAAAGTTATGGTGGACTAGTACTTGATTTCACTGCTGTAGTGCTTATATATGTTTGTTAATATGGGTCAATATTAAACTATTCAGGGGTAATCAACGTTCTTTGGAAGATTGTCTATGGGAGGCCTGGGCGTGTCTTTGTTCATCATCTACTCATTTAAAAGTATGTTGGTCTTATTATGGACTTCATGATGTCTTTTTAATGGACTCCTTTGACATTGTTTACAAGCCTTTCCTGTGTAACCAATAACATACTTTTTGTTGGCGTGCAGCATTCAACACGCATTGAGCGTGTTATTGGCTTTCTTCTTGCAATATGGGGTATATTGTTTTACTCTCGCCTTCTAAGCACGATGAGTGAACAATTTAGGGTAAAATCTGAAGCATTATGCATTTATTAAGGTATATTATTCTGTGCATGTCATTAATTGTAATTCTTCAAACAGAATAATATGCAAAGGCTCAGGGAAGGAGCCCAAATGCAAGTTCTGGAGACTGATCATATCATTATTTGTGGGATGAATAGTCATCTTCCTTTCATATTAAAGCAGCTAAATAAGTACCATGGATTTGCTGTCCGCTTAGGCACAGCTACAGCTAGGTAATTGGTTCAGACAAGGTAGTTGCCCATTGCCCTTGTCTTGTGTTCTGATTGCTGGCTTCTGTAATATGCCTTTTTCATTTCTATGCAGGAGGCAGAGAATCCTTCTTATGTCTGATCTTCCAAGAAAACAGATTGATAGGGTAGCTGACAATCTTGCAAAAGATTTAATTCATATTGATGTCCTTACCAAGAGGTATTGATGCTGGGTAATTTCCTTATTTTAATCATGGAAGCAAGTTTTGTAGAAATACCATGTTTTTTCTTTGCTTAGGACTGCCCAGAGATTTTTCTTTACTATTTACTTGGTTGAGAAATTTCGGCTTCGTTTTGTAATAAGAGCAATTAAGGAAAATCCCTAACCGCCATTACCTTCACTTAACAGTGCTGATGATATGGCTTTTTTTGTCACTAACGAGGTTGATTATTTGTCATTTTTGTTTCAATACCTGCCATGGAAAATTGCTCTAGAAATTAGATACACACCAGAAACTAAAACCCAAGTTTTGGGGTATAATGTGTTTTTGCAGAAATTTTGAACAGTGGTACTTATCAGGATTAATACTAACGATGTTATAGATTTGGAGGCCTCATAATTCTCCTGCTTAATGCGTTATGTGCACAAACAACTCAGAAACAGTAAACTATCTTTGTTTCTGCAAATCCTGATATTTTTGTTGTGTGCACAACCAATTCAGAAACAGTAAAATATTTGTTTTTACATTGTAAGACAAATACTTTCCTTGAAAACCCTTTTGTGTTCTTGTTGCGACTTGGGTCTGTCCCACAACTTCCAAGCTCTTTTTTATGTTTTGGTTCTAGGGTTTGGCAAGATTTTTTTTTTTTTGGCAGTGCGCTGTTTATCCAATTATTTGTTTCACTTGGTTGGAGTAAAATTCTTGCATTTTTAAGGATATGGATGTTTCTTTGCCCCTATATTTTCTTTAGAATAGGAATAGGATTATGTTTGTAGCCCTCTTTAAGTGTTCAGCTCATCTGTTTCAAGTGGGTTGCACTTACTGACATGAGAGAGATTTTGCAGCCTTGCTTCACTCTTCAGTCTTTACATGGTATTTCTTGTATCTAGTTTCTTCTGTTTTCGATTCTCACCCTAGTTGTATTTTTCCTCTCTTCTATATAATATATATTTTTTCTATAAAAAATAGAACGCAACAAAACAATCAAGGTCATAAACACAATAAAGCTCTGCACTGCATTTCCACTGATGTTTGATTCAGAGGTTACCTCAAACAAGCAAGGGAAGAACACCAAAAAGAAGCTATTAAGACTAGTCATAACAGCAGTAGAACAATGAAGCACCCTAAAAAATACAAGCATTCTGCTCCAACCAAATACACCACAGAACTACTGAAACTGTGCACCGCCATAACACTCGCTCTCTTTGGCCCTTCCAAACCATTCAAAGTTAATAAGAACTGCTTTAAACAATTCAAAGGACATTTCACAAACCCAATATTTATGTAAAGCTCCCAACTTAGTCCATACATGGCTGTAGAACTATGTAAAATAGTCAGCATTTATTTCTAAACTGTGTAAAAACAAAAGTAATGAGTTGTATTCATATGTTAAGTTGCTTTAAAACTTGTTTTCTTTGATGCCTCATACATAAAGTTTCTGGCTTTACAGTTGCAGCCTTAGTTTAACAAAATCATTTGAAAGAGCAGCAGCCAACAAGGCACGTGCAATAATTATACTGCCAACAAAAGGGGATCGGTAAGAGCTGATCTAGATTAATTGTTAATGGTACATGTGGTTATGGTTTGGTTTAAATTAAAATCAATTGACTTATTTTCATGAATTTTTTATTGAAGTGGAAGAGGGTATATAATGATGTTAGAGAAAACTGCTATATGTAATTTCTAGTATAATTATCTTAAGCATAGTGGTTACTGGTTTGAATTTTAATGATTAGTGTCTGCCAAAGTTATTATGGATATGTATTTAGGCTCCATGTGTATGTATTTATACATAAACTTTGGGTAAGTGTATATTAGTGTAAGCTCCACATCCCAATAAAACAGGGACTCATTCTAACACTTCCCATCTTGCTAGATCACAATTGATCAAGCCCAGCATGTTACAACTACTTTAGTTCTAACTCTAGTGAGAGCCTCTGTAAACTAATTTTCCAGTTGCTTGCTTGTTTTAATATAAGCATTGGATATAAAACCATTCAAACCTTTATGATCATGTGGATTGTGGTCTACGGTTTGATACCTATTGTCCCAATTTTTCTAAATAAAATTTAAATTTTAGCTCAAGGTAGGGTCAACTTGTGCACTATCCATGTCTCAAGCTTAAAAGGTTCTTGCATGAGGGGAATTTTAGATATGAAATTATTCATGTGCCTTCATCTAACAGCTTAAACTTTCAGGATAGTTGGTTAATGACACTGGCCTCTTAATGTTCAGTTGTCCACAAAGCTAGCTTAAGTCGTTTTAGTAGAGTAATTAGTTTTTACTTAAATTGATTGTTATCTTTGAAATATACTGAATTTCACCTTAATGAAGTGTATTGATTTCAGATCCTTTATATGTTAGGTATGAAGTTGACACAGATGCATTTCTTTCTGTTTTAGCCCTTCAACCAATTCCAAAGATGGATTCTGTCCCCACAATAGTTGAGGTATGTTACTTATGAGCAGCTTTATGTGAAACTAATGAGAAAAGTAAAAATATGCAGAGAATAAAACATTTGAGTTTTTCTTAATGAATGTAGGTTTCAAGTTCCAAGACGTGTGAGTTGTTGAAGTCAATCTCAGGATTGAAAGTAGAGCCTGTAGAAAATGTTGCATCGAAATTATTTGTTCAGTGTTCTCGGCAGAAGGGGCTTATAAAGATCTACAGGCACTTGCTAAATTTTCAAAGTACTGCATTTATGCTCTCTACATGTCATACATGTCATGTTTGTAAGGATTGCTTGTTTAATTATTTCTTAAATTTTCTTTAATGATATTTTATATATTGTTTATCCTCGACCAGAATAATTCAGATAAGTTCAAAATACTTTTTAATAATTTGTAAATTGGAGCTAGTAATTAACAAATTACTCATTTTGCGGGTTTCTATTTTTAAATTAGTTGCTATTGCCTTATCTGGACATATTAATGTGTCCCCTTTTTAGTCTTTTTGTTGGTCTGGCCTTATACTTTTGTTTTGGTTTCCATTTCCTAGTCTAGTTGGTGCTACACTTAAGTAGACCTGTATTTTTTGTCTTATATTTGAAAGGGAAATACACTTCTCATGTTGCATAAGATAATTTGATCATAAGATAATTTGATCTTATGCACACACAAAAAGATGTGGGTGGGACCCATTTTTTCTATTTTTCTCTTTTCTCCTTAGTGGGTCCCACCCACTTTTTGTGTAACATGAGAAATGCATTCTCCTGTTTGAAAACCAGTTAAACCTTTTATGAATTTTCTTGTTGACCTACATGTATTTATCCCTGAATTCTAATTTTTATTACTTTCACTTGCAGAAAATGTATTCAATCTTTGCAGCTTGGCTTATCTAGAAGGAATGACATACAGACAAATAAGACATAGATTTCCAGCGGTAATTAGTTTCTTCAATTGTAATTTCTTGACCGGAAACTTCAATTATATACTTTACATCGATGTTCTCTACATTAATATTATTTCAGGCTGTTGTCTGTGGTCTTTACCGCAGTGGGAGAATATACTTCCACCCTAATGATGATGAAATTCTGCAGCAAACCGACAAAGTATGTAGACTAACACATAAATGAGTCTAATTCATATTTATATTATGTCTGTTCTGTCTACCTTTTTGTCTTGGATTTTATGAGAGTTCCACAGTTAAATGGTTGTCTGAAAAAGCAAGGGCATGGGTTATTGTTCCAGATCTTTTTATACAACAATTATGTGCATAAATAACAATCAGAACAATTCAATGATAAAAAAGTTGGTAAACTGGATAAAGATCTAATTTAGAGCATAATACATTTTAGTATTGAACCTGGTCACTGCCAAGCACAGCCATCCAGTTGACCGACAGGACCAAAGCCTGTTGGTTAGATTCTATTTTCACAAGTCAATTTTCATGGCTCACAAGTATACGCTCTGATATCATCCAGATTTCCTCGTTAGGTATTGTTCATTGGATCTCTTCAGGATATTAAAAAGGCAGAAGTTGTAATCCCAAATGGGAAAGAAGGAAAACACGGAATTCATAACGTGGAAGTACTTCAAAAGGAGGTGGATAATGCTATTGAATTGAGTAGATTAAGACTTGCTAATATAGTTAAACGTTCTAACAGATCACGTTCCAAGGTATGACTTCCAGTTCTATGTTGTATATAGATGCTTTGAATGAGCGCTATGCCATATATACTATTTGAAAAGTTAACCTTTATTGGTTATCACCATCTAGGCATCAGATGGGAATGTAGGACCGAAAGAGTGCATTCTTTTACTTGGGTGGCGACCTGATGCTGTAGAAATGATTCAAGAGTATGATAACTATCTTGGTCCTGGAAGTGTTGTGGTATGTTCTTTTATATGTTGGAATCTTCGTTGATCTACGTACTTTTGAGTGTATAATTTGAACAAAAAAAAAAAAAAAGCAATAATAGTAAAATGAAGACATAGTATTGTCCAATCCTGGTTGGTCCTGGCAGTGTTTTGGTATGTTCTTATATATCTGAATATTAGTTGACTATGTACTTTTGTGAGTGTAAGGTTTGAAAATACAAATAAAACCTTAAGCAATCTCCAACCCTGGTATTGAAAAAAAAATAAAAAATAAAAAATCACTCCCCATTAAACCCTGACTAGCGAGGGTGTGGTGAGAGAAATTCTTGTATGCAACCTTACCTTTGCATAATTGCAAAGAGGCTGTTTCTCGGATTCGAATCTATAACTTTTTAGTCACAAAGAAACAGTTTTATCACTGTTCTAGGCTCGCCTCTTAACCTTGGTATTGAAAAGTTTTAGGGAATTTAATGAAAATTTGATAATTTTTTGGAAAACCCTACATAATGTGTGTGTGATGAAATTATAAAGCGGTGACCTGTAAAGCATTGTGATCTCCCTCCATTCATCAATTTTAAATTTTATTGCCTGACTGTGTAGGGGAAAAGCAAAATATATATTCTGACTGCTTCATAATCAGCCCAAGAGCTTTTGATCATGATACTTATTTTCGTTGTGCCATCATTGTATGATTCCAAGTGTCTATAATGCACCCTGATGTTGTCAATCAAGTGAAACAACATTGTTAAGGAATTAAGGTGGTTTACTCTTTGCTATATTTGCGTTAACCTAAAATGCATTATCTATCAGCAAGATACTTCTGTTGCTGGTGTGAACTGATCATAATTTTGAACCACAAGAAGAATCATGATATTAGAGATTGTTTAGGGTTTATGATACTGTATATTGGTGTGGTTTTTTGTTTTCCTAGGACCTAGGTTATATATGCATTCCATTGCAGTTCAATATTTATCATTTCTGGCCATAAATAATATGCAGGAAGTATTATCCGACACACCATTGGATCACAGGATTATTAGGGAAAGGAACATCACTGGTCATAGCAAACTCAAGAATGTTCGAGTTTCTCATAGGGTATTGTTTCATGCAGTCAATTAATGTATTCAAATTTCTTTTAGTGTGGTCCGGCTTTTGATACAATCTTTCACTTCTTTCAAATTTGGTAGATTGGAAATCCTATGGACTATGACACCTTAGAGGAAACTATTTTGAATATTCAGAATTCTTTGAAGAATGAAGAAGTTCCTTTGTCGATTGCTGTCATATCTGACAGAGAATGGCTTCTTGGAGGTAATTATGCACAAATTTTTTTGTGGCTGAAAATGGCCTACCACTGACTATTCTCTTTGCAGATCCGTCTAAGGCAGACAAGCAATCTGCTTATTCTCTCTTACTTGCTGAAGATATCTGCAAAAAACTTGGAGTTAAGGTGATAATTTACCTTTTTTTAATGCTGATAAGAATTTTTTATTCTGAAATATTAGTTATTCTTATGAGTAGATAGGAAAAGCAAAGTTGGATTATATTGGCTGTTTTGTAGGTGCAAAATCTAGCTGCAGAAATAGTTGATTCAAAATTGGGGAAACAAGTAATTTTCTTGTTGCTTTGGGTTTTTTCAACCTTTCAAAGTTTAGATTGCATTATATTTTGATGATGGTAATTGTATATAAAATGCTGCAGATTACTAGAATCAAGCCATCAGTGACCTACATTGCAGCAGAGGAAGTAATGAGCCTTGTAACAGCTCAAGGTCATTAATTTTTGTTCTCTTCTTGGCTGAGCTTTAATTATTACGGTCTATTTTATGTGTCAATGTTAAATTTATTTTTCGAACTTGAAAAACAGTGGCCGAGAATAGTGAACTGAATGAAGTTTGGAAAGACGTACTAAATGCAGAGGGCGATGAAATATATGTAAAGGTAATATCTATTCATGTTGTGATACTTTATTTTGTAAACATTCATCCCATGAAGGTAATGTATGTAAAGGTATTCTTACATGAATCATTATGACCGAGCAACAGTCTTTGGTTTCATTTCATGGATGAATTCTTTCCTTTATGACTCTACATTCCTTTTATAATAATAATAATATACAGTATGAAATGAATATATGATAAACTGATTTGGCTGGGGTTATTGACAACATTAACCTATGTGCCAAACATGTTATTTATTCTGTATAGTAAGTATATGGCCTTCAAATTAGAACATGAGCCTTAACTTTTCTTTTGATGTATGCAATGTAGCATTGCTGCTGACTCACCTTTGTTTTCATATTACAGGATATTAGTCTTTACATGAAAGAAGGAGAGAATCCATCATTTTCTGAGCTTTCCGAGAGAGCATATTTGAGGAGAGAAGTAGCCATAGGTTATGTGAAAAACAAGAAGATGGTATGCTAATGGCAGTTCAAATTTATTTTGGAATCATTCAATTGAACATGCATGCTATTAATAATACCTTTACCATTTGCAGGTAATCAATCCAGTTCCCAAGTCTGAACTCCTCTCTCTTGAATTGACTGACTCATTGATAGTCATATCTGAGCTAGAAGGAGAACAACCCATCATTTTGTAATGTCGAGGCCTTAATCATGTTGGGAAAATTCTGACCCCTAAAATTTGAGGCAATTTATTGCTAATTAGGATTACTGAATATTCTTGATTCAGAATTAATTGTTACACGTTCTTTGGATATATAAACCCTCCAAATACTTGTTCCTTAATTGAAATGACCATTTTTCATGCATTCTTTGAAATCCTTATTTAGCAAATGGTTATTAACTTATTATTGATTTTTTTTTTATTTTAAAAAAAGGTATTTATTTTTGTTTACTTAATAAATGAGAAATCACAAAATTAGAGACTTGACAACTTTTTAATTTAATTGCATACAAATAGAAATTTATTCAAAATGCTATGATAGAGTTCCAAGATAATTGTTTTGGAGAAAAAGAGTATGTCATGTTTATATTTGTATCATTAAGAATAAGTATGATGAAGCCAAAATTAGTGTTGGAATTTTTCTATAATTACTAAAGATAAAGTTATACCAAGGGTCAACTTTGAACTCTTATTTTTTTTACCTTAGTTTAGGCATTTTTATCTAACATATTCAAGAGTAAGTGCTTTAATATATAATTTTATTATAATTTTTTTTTATACTTTCTTTAAAATATATATTAACAAGAATACACTTTAGTATTTCAATCTAAATAAAAATTCAAATTATTAACAAAAAAATTTCTTAATTTTAAAAATTTAAAGAAAAAAATTGCAAACTCGTTGAAATATAGAGTTTCTTTTTGTTAATAAGTATCTTGTTCATTAAACGATTTTTTTTTTAAATAAATAATTGAAATATTTTAAAAAGTATATATTAAAGAAAGACAACTAAATAAAAAAAATTAAACTTGAAGTTTAAGAAAATGTAAAAATAAAAGATTTTATGCTTCTAAAAAAAATCATAACAACACATATTACTATTTATAAACAATAAAATAAGATATCAACTCACTTTTTAAATAAATATCCTCTAATTTTTTAAAAAAAGACAGTGGATTACTCTCAGTAGTATTACGGTTAAAATTTTATTCTTTTGCTTCTCTTTTTGTTTTTTTGTTTTTTAATTTTTATAACCATTGCAGTGATAATGATATAGATATTACTAATTAGGAGGTAAATCGGCTGAGTTTTGACTTAAATAGTCTAGGTTTGTATAAAATACTTTAGGTCTAACCTGATCTGTTAGCTTTGTTTAGGTCTATGTAAAATATTTTAGGTCTAGTCTCTTAGTCTTGTGTAGGTCTAAACTATAAGTCTAACGCGATTTATATTTAAAAAATAAAAGTTTTGACCTAGTCCTGTTGGTCTGATTAAGTGCCTGTTTTGATCATTTTTTTAAGCTAAAAGCTACTTATAATTATAAACTAAGCCAAACAGGTTTTGAGAAAAGCTCTTATAATGAAAAATTATTTTTTTATAATTAAGAAAAAAGCTAAAAACTAAAAGCTCTTCCTTTTAAGCTCTTATTTACTTTTTTTTGAATTGTGTGCTTTTTAAAAAATGAAGAGATATAAAGGTAGAGAGAGATAGTTTTCTTAAAATATATGTATTTAAGTAGAGAAATGTTTAAGTTACATAAATTTTTTTTATCTCATGTCACAGATACATCGTAATTCGAGTCAGCATTTCTTTTTCTTTTTTCTTTTTTTTTTAACCGTGGGACCCACCCAATTATGTCTCTACATGAGATAATACTATCTCATGTAGCATGAGAAAAGCATTGCCCATTTAAGTAACTTTAAAGCTAAATTTTTTATGCCAAACAACTTTTACATCTTTTTTTAAAGCTAGAAGCTACTTATAATCATAAGCTGGGCCAAACAGGTTTTGAGAAAAACTCTTATAATGAAAAGTTTTTTTTTATAATGAAGAAAAAAGCTAAAAGCTCTTCCTTTTAAGCTCTTATTTACTTTTTTTTGAATTGTGTGCTTTTTTTAAACAAAATGAAGAGATATAAAGATAGAAAGTGATAGTTTTCTTGAAATATATGTATTTAAGTAACTTTAAAGCTAAAATTTTTATGTAATTACCAAACAACTTTTACATTTTTTTAAGCTATTCTTTTTAACTTTAGCTTATAAGTAGCTTCTAGCTTTAAAAAAAGATCCAAACAAGCTCATTAGATATTTAATAATTAAAAAAATTAAAATTATATTACTTTACTATTCAAAATTACTAAAATAATAGTTTAATTTATTTTAGTTAAAATAAGTAATATAATATAAGCCGGTATGTATGTATTTAGGTCCGACATATAAAAAAAAAGTCCAGACGTGCTTTTTAAATAGGTTTTTCTATTGGATTGAGATTTCAAAGGATTGTTTTTGGATAAAAATTTCCATTTGTATTCAATTAGGATTTTAAATGATTGAAAAGAAGTCACGTGGTATTCGATTAAGATTTTAAAATATTATTTTAGACTCCGTCCAAATTCGTTGGTATTCAATCAAGATTTTAATTAATGGAAAAACAATATTGTGGTATTCAAAAATCTAAAGATTTTAATGAATTTTCTATTGGTGTGGATTTCGTGAGACTTTTTAGTGAGAAATGTAAATAGGATGCATCTTTCACAATCTCACCCTAACTCTTACGATTTCTTGAAATTTCTCTATTGCAGTGTTTTTTTCTTCCTTTGGCAGATTGACTCGCTCGAAATCAAGTTCCGCCATGGGAGCTTCGTCAAAACTCAAAAATAGCAGATTTTGAGCGTTTTTTATCACAAAATAACCCAGAAACAACAAACCAACTAGATTTTAATATAATTTATCTCAAAACAGCATATTTTTGAGAGATTTTAGAAGTTTAAAAAGTGACTTTTCAATCTATGGTTCGCGATTTTTCTTGGCACAAAAATGTGTGATCTTTGTATTAAAAATAACATGAAACAATGGGAAAATAACAGGGGAACTGGAACCCTCAAATCAAATTTCGTTTTACAACCATGAAACAATATCAATTTAAAGAAAGTTTGAAATTTTCATAATATGAACCCTATATTTCGTAACAATACATTCATGAACGAAATTCTTTCACTATAGGAAATAATTTCAAACAATTTTTGTGTCAATAGATAACTAAAAACTTGTTTTTCAAAAGGCTCAAAGCAATTTAAGGTTTCAATGTATCGATTGAAATTTTTTTAAGAAATTTTCTAAAGTTTCATGTAATAAAATCCAGAAATTCAGATTCAATTTTTTTTAGAATATTCAATGAAAACATGCATATGATATATGGTTAGAAAACTCTCATCACGTAGAACAAAAAACCCAAGGTTTTCAATATCAATTGCAAAAAATTCCAAACGAAATTTTATCATGAACTTTAGGTTTTATATGCAAATTTAGAATTATTTTAATATTTAAAAAAATTGGGTCTTATAATCATATATGTATAGATCTGATACCAAATGAAGAAAATAATTTTCAATCCATTAATCAAACCAAAGATCATGAACAAGAAAATACTAATGTGTGGAAGACTAATATAACTTTAGATATATGGAGAGCTGTTGCTTAATAATTTTGAATGTTTATTAAAAATTATATTATATTTTACTGATTGAGAAAATTATATTAGGTTTTAATTTTTTTTTATTAATTTCATTGTATTTATTTGTTATTTTTTATTGACTCTTGTAATTTTGAATATTTGTTAAAAATTCATATGATTTTTTAAAATCTTATAAATTCATATTATCCTTTCAAATCTTATAAATTTTATTAAAATCCTTTAAAATTCAATTTTATGAAATCTTAATTGTAAAAAATTCTTTAAGGTCTCTCTATTCTAAATAGACTTTTAAAATCTATAAAAAAATTTATCTCAAAAAAGTTTTTTAAAATTTTAATTCAATACATCCTTAAAATTTTTATTTTATTTAATATAATAGGGTGATTCTTACATTATACCCGTAGGCCGCTTACCCGTACCCTAATTAGTATATAACTCCCTCCGACCGGTTCCGCAGTATAAGATGAGGGCAGAAGAATAATAGAACGACATAAACCTAATCAAGAAAGCAAAAAAGGGCATTGAGATTTGATAAAGATAGAGATAGCGAGTGTAAACTGAGAAGCAGCATTCATGGCTCACGGTGGCTACAACAAGCGGCGCGTGAGAGTCAACCCCGCAAGCCGTCGATCCAACTCCAAGGCTTTAAGCGTCGCCAAGAAACCCAAACCCCACGTTTCCCTTAAAAACCAGATTCGGTCAGCAGAGCGCATGCTCAGAAAGGTAACCTCAACCCTAACCCTAACCCTAACCCTAACCTCATTTTTTTGATTCGATTCATTTCAAGCAGAATTTGCCAGCTGAGGTGAGAGAGGCACAAAAACACAAGTTGGAAGAACTGAAGAGGCAGCAGGAAATTCATACTCGCCTTGCTGCTGAACGCAAAATATTCTTGCGTGACAGGAAGATCAAGTTCTTCGAGAGGAGGAAAATTGAAAGAAGGATTAGACGTCTCGAGAAACTGCAACGTGCTTCTTCTTCTTCTTCTTCTTCATCTGCCCAAGTTTCTTCTGACCAGCTCTCCGCTCTAAAAAAAGATCTTCAATATGTTATGGTCTGTCTCTGGAAAATAACATAGATTATACTTGCTGTTGCATTGTTCTTTAATCAATAATAACCCTTATTATTTTCAATTTTAAACTGCAGTACTTTCCCAAGACTGAGAAATATGTTCCTTTATTTACTGGAGGTGATGATTCTGAGATGGTTGACAGGAGAAATGGGCTGCGCAAACAGATTGAAGACAGGTTAATTGCAGCTGCTGCAAGTGGCAAGGATTTAGAAGGTTCATTAATTTTATTCTTAGCATAATTTAATTAATATTTTCCTTCTCAGATTCATATGATTTTAACTTTAGAATGTTGTTTTGAGAACTTGGTTTTAGTTATATGGGCTATGTTTGAAGTTGATGATTGGACGGATTACATGGTTTGTCAAATAAAAAAAAAGGAAAACTGGGTGGCTTTGGTTCATATTTATAAATATGCCTTTGTGTTTGTGGCCTATTCCTTTTCAATTAAACGTCAACAAGTTTTCATGCTACTTTCGCAGAGACTGGCAGTGAGGATGATGGCCTTTTGGATCTGAGTGATGATGATTTTTTTCTTGCTGGAAGTTCTAGTGATGAAGCAGATGCAGATGATGAATGGACAGACAAAAGCACAAGGTGAGCAGAGATGTTTCAATACTTGAGCAGTTATATCAATGAGAACTCATCTAACCGTGCAGTAAGGCAAAGATAATTATAATGTTAAAAAGAGAGTAACTGAATCAACCTGTGTTATTTATGTTGGTAATAATGAAATGGAAGCTGTATTTTCTTTTGTAAAACTTCTGGCATCTGTTGCAATGGTATGCTAGAGAAATATTCAATAAACTTTGTTTTTTGGAATTTCATTGCCAATTGAGATGCTTTAAACATATATGCTGTTTTATTTTGATGAATTCAAGTTCATGAAATTTTCTATTGGTTGCAGAGAGCAGGCTTCTAGTGCTTCTGGCAAAGTTGTATCTGGCATGTCCAGTGATGAAAAGAATCAGGTCTGCAGTATGAGTAGTAATTTTATTGTTTTAATTTCCAATTTTCCATAATAGTAAATAGATAGTCACAAACTATTTTTTGCAATTTGTAAATATCTTTACCCATTTTTATAGAGGCAGATTTCTGCTAGAGCTTTGATGCCCCCTCCTCGCCCTTCAAACAAGAAGTTGTCAAGGTTTGGGTCGTCTTCAGGCCAAAATTCATCTACGCATAGATCTGAGATTTCCACATCCAGCAACACATCAAATAGCAAAAGCAGCTCAGACTTCAAAGTCAGGGGACCCTCAAGATCAGGCACAGGTCATGGTAGTAGTCTAAGCTCCAACTCTGATGCTCACAAGCCTCGGAGAAAGAGAAGACCTAAGAAGAAAAAGAAGCAGGTTCATTACTTGTGCTCATTCTTGGTTTTTTGTTCTAATATATGTTTCATATTTTCAAATACCTTGGTTATTTGTTGAATTAAAACCAGAACGGTCTTTGAACCAGTGAAGGTGGTTGAAATGGTGATATATATATATATATATATATATATATATATAACCAATTCAACCCAAAAGCTTAAGCTGGTGGGTGAGGCTACATTAATGGTTTTATATATCTCAACACGCCCCCTCACACGAGAGCCCATTGGGCTTGAAGGGTGGACGATGCACAGACTCACCTACCTGTGCGAACAAAGAAATTCCACTTGAAAGAAAGTGGGGGCGGCAAGGATCGAACCCGGGACACGAGGCTTTGATACCATGTAAAGAACCAATTCAACCCAAAAGCTTAAGCTGTTGGGTGAGGCTACATTAATGGTTTTATATATCTCAACAATATATATATAGAGGTAGGATCCTTTGACACCAGTGACAAATTTGAAATTTGACATCTCATCTGAGAGCCATTAGATCAAAAAAATCAACGGCTCTGATTTGTAAGCATATGACACCATTGATCTTTTTTGATCTAACGACTCTCAGATGAGGTGTCAAAGGATCCTACCTCATATATATATATATATATATATATATATTATCTATACAATATATTAAATAATAAACCAACCTACTGATGCAATAATATACATTATAATCGTGGGGGTGGGAACATGTGTTCGATCCTCCGTAGTACCACTTATGAGAGAGGTTTAAAACATTAATCCTGGACCTGCCCCTGCCCCGAATAGGACTAGTTGCGAATTAATGAACCGATTAGAATATTTTCAAAAAAATAATAATCAAGTAACACGACACCATATTCAAGTTCAATAATAGACATAATATTCATAAGCTCGTAACATTAAGGATTACACTTAATAAGTCCAAAACATGACATATTATTTAAGATGTTGTATTGTCCTTTTTAAAAAGACCTCAAAACGACATTGTATGGGCTATTTTTTTTTTTCAAAGCTCTAAATTGGTTTGACCGGTTTACAAATGGTTTTATTTGTTCTTTGGGCATCTAGTTTTGTGGGTAGATTGTACAGGACGCCAACTGCTTTTTGGGTTGAACTGGCTGGTCCGGTTTTTTCAACCACGTTCAAGTCTCATAGTTGTCTCTTTTCTTTTTGTGTCTTGCACATATTTATTGATGAATTTTGCATCTAAAGGAATGGCTTTGTTTATTCTTGTTTAACATTAGGCTGATACTCAGTAGTTTTATTATCTGTAAATGCCTATAATCAGTAGTTTAATGTGGTAATTAATGAAGAAAAGAATAATTTCTTACTGGCTTTCTTCAAAGAAGTTGCATGGGATTTGTTAAAGAGCGAACCAGGGATTGCTGTGTGAACCGGCAGTTGAAGTAGAATTCTGAAGATTAAGAGAGTTAGAATCAATAGAGAAGCCATTGAGCTCTAGTTCTACTGTGGAATACTCCTAAATAAGTAGTATGAAATAAAATAGGATGACATAATATGCATCACACAACGTATGCCCGAATGTCAATACTTGTTTATATGTTACGTATGTGCCATCAGGGGGCGAATGATTTATTTATGTCTTCTGCAATAGAACACTTGCAAATTATTTCTTTGTTCATCGAATGCATCAAATATTTACTTTCCTGTCTCTTCTTTCTGTCTAATTGTAATGCATATCTATTCTCCATCTGTAGGCATGATGGTTAGACCGAGCATTGCTATGAGCAATTGGATTTAGCTTCTTTGAATTCATTCGAGATTCTTACAGTTATGTCTTAATTGGATGGGTCATGTTCTGCGGTGGGCCTGCTGGGAGCCGGTTTCATTGGTCATTATGATGATCTTATATGTACTAACTTGTTAGGTTAGATTGAGAATTCGTTACTGTAGATTAACTTTTGACTGTGGGGTCTTCCTATTTAACTGTTGCTTACTGTAAATTGCATTAAATTCTGATTTGTTTATGTGGGATAGTATTTCTACCCTTACGAGTTTTGAAGTACTACTATCGCATTGGCCAATATATGGTGTGTGAAATGGTTAAAAGTTGGAAGCATGAAAAATGATGCTATATTTTAGTTTATGAGAAAGGGAAATGTTATATTTACTATTTTTTTTACTATCAAATCTTAACTATTGATTTTCGTCAATTTATCAGTTATAATTTATTGAAAATTAATAATTAATTAATAAGTGTGATCTAATAAATTATAATTGTTAGATTGACAGAAATTAACTGTCAAGATTTGGTAGTAAGAAAAAAGGTAATAAGTATAATTTATTTCTATGAGAAATTGAGAATGTTTATTAAGTAATGCTGCATAGGCCTATGTGGTTTGATCTCTATCTGAATGAAATATTTAAATACAAAAAAAATTCCTTTTTGGGTTGGTTAAGCTGGGGTGAAGGCATTTATGGAGTTGTAACTAGTTGTGTAAGTTAAATGGTTTTAGTTGAATGGAACATTGGCAGGAGAGCAATAGTCTAGTCGTTACTCTAATTTTTGCCTGTGAGTTGACTGGAATATTCCAATAGTGTTTCGTTTGGTAACTATAAAATTTCGTTTGAAGGAAAATATAAAATATCCCTTTATTTTTTTTCTTTGATAATTTCATCTCACGTAAATGTAGAAACACCAACCTATAAAAATAGCTAAGGTTGCAGATTTTCTATTATTACTTGAGCAAAGAATCAGAAGTAATTTATATATTAATAAATTAAAAAATTTCTCTTAGGAAAAATGTTACAAATAATGAATCTCATTTGTTGTAGATAGATGATAATTATTCCATCTTTTTCTAGGTACAAAGGTTAATCAGTCTTCTTATGGGTTTAATATTTCTTTTATCATTTATAACATCAAAACGACAAAAAAAATTGTATTGTAAAAGAAAATTAAAATTTCTAAAACATATTTTATTATTTTCTACAAATTTTAAAATAATGTCATTTTTTTATAGATATATCCTCACAATTTTCTGCGAGTCATATTGTTCTCGGAATATGGCCTCTAAGGTTAGTTTTTCAATGGAACAAATGGTATATTGGATCACTGTCATTGGAGGAAAGGTGAGAATAATTTCGCTTTCAGGGAGAGATAGTTTCCCTTTGTCCCCCGTAGAATTTACTTTGGTTAAGGTTTGAACCCCTAATAAAAGGAAATTTTTAGACACTCAATTGCCAACTGAGCTACTCTTGAATTTAAATGATATCATTTTAGACTTACATGGTATCTCCTCTAATGAGAAAAACATTTTAATTGATTACTTTCAATTACATAAATCAATAGTTCAAACAGCACTCAAAAGTAAAGCATTTCCCATTTTTATAGGAACTTATACACCAAAAACAATTGTATGTTCAATAATAGCCCCTCTCGGCTGTAAAATATATCTTTTCTCACCATCCTCATAGTATATAAGACAAATGTATGTATTTCGATTAGGGTTGTATTCTATGGTTATGATTCTATTATATATGTATTTTTTATTATGTCGAAAATCGATTTTATGGTATAGACATTTATGATCTTTCCCTCTATGTCCTGCGGTAATGATTCCTCTGGAATTACGGTATTTAACACAACGATGTTGTCTATATATCAAATGATTTCGACTGAATTTTATTCGACTGTCTACAGTTTCATTGCATGTGCTCAGGGTAGAAATTTTGTATAAATGTATTGCCATGCTATTAAGTATTTTTATTTAAGTTCTTTTCTTTTTAAGAGCTGAAATATAATAATCCGATTAAAGCGTAATCATACATCTATAATGCATTGTATGTCTCATAATAGGTCACACACTTAACTTTATATATTTTGTTCATTCGCGTGTATTAAAAATGCACGATTCGCTTTTTTAATTTTTGTATATTCAACATAAAATACTTTTTCCATTCATGTGACAGTTACCCACAAAAGTAGGGATGTACATAAAATGCATACTTGGGAATTGGGATAACGAAGAAAATGTATCCAATCCCAAAAAATATATCGAAATATAATAATAAATAATGTTTTTAGTGCATATAATTTTATTTGCTATACATATAAAATTATTTGAGAAAATTATGCCTAATAATAATAATAAGAGTTTAATGTTTGTCATTTTAAAAAATATAGAGTTATATCATTTTAAGTAAGAAAAAAATACAAACAATGAAAATTATAGAAGAGAAAGTAAGTATTTTTTTTTTAAATTTAAATTTTAAATAAAAAATATTAAATTATATCTTTTTCTTATTTAAAGTGATATAATTTTATATCTTTTTTATAAATATTTTTCTATAATAATAATAATTTTTAATGACTTTAATATTTCTAGAGTAAATATACATAAGTTATTTATATTTAATCCTAAAATAACAAGTCGTTTTTGATTAAAAAATTAAAAAATTACAATAAAAAATAATATTATAAACCTGAAATAATTTTGAGCTCATAAGTATCTAATGTGGAAAAAGCGGAGCCATTTTTAATACGAGTTTGAGCAGAGAAACTGATAAGGTAGAAATTGATGCCGAAATGAAAAGGAGTGAGGGGAGTTGTATTTCAATACTGTAGTGTAGTCATATATCATAGCGGTGATCGGTGAGTTTCAATGGAGGGTGGGAGGGTGTGGATTCAGATCCGTTCAGTGTTTGTATTAGCATCTCTTTGCTCTCTCATTGTCACTGTCACTGTCACCTTCGCCGATAGCGTTACCCGAGAGGAAGCGAAACAACTGAGAGATGAGGTCGGTGAGATGTTTTATCACGCTTTTAATGGATACATGGAACACGCTTTTCCTCTCGATGAATTGAAACCTCTATCATGCACAGGACATGATACGCTTGGTGGTTATGCCTTAACTTTGGTAATATAACATCTCCATTCAAATTCAAATTCAAATTCAAATTCAAATTCACACTCACATTCACATTCACATTCAATCACACTTTGTCTCAAATTCTCGTCTAATGCATCCAATCCAATCCGAAACGGGACAGATTGACTCCTTAGACACTTTGGCTTTACTTGGTGACCGCGAACGTTTCGCAGCTTCTGTTGAATGGATTGGTAAAAATCTTCGATTTGATGTTGTGAGTGCTCTTTAAACGCCTATCATAATTTTTATTTTTATTTTTGTCTTTTAGTTACTTGCTTAGTTTCATTCAATCATGAAAATGTTTATTTTGCTTATGATTTATTATTCTACTTTGGGTTGAATTGCAGAATAAAACGGTTTCTGTGTTTGAGACTACTATCAGGATCCTTGGAGGATTAATTTCAGCTCATCTTATAGCCTCTGATTATGCTACGGTATCATTTATTATGCATACACTTCATTACATGTATCTTCTAACTATCTAATTGTGAATGGTGAGTCTGAGTCTTGTGTTGTGGCCGGTGAGGAGGCACTTAGTCGGATGATGTTGATAGGAATCTCATTTGAGGGTATCAGATGAGGTTATAGTTTCTCACTTCTGCTTTCGAGGAGGATAGTGACTCTTTCATGAATGTTTGCTTCAGGATTTCTGGTTTGAAAATAATTTTGGATTAGAGTGTTCTGGTGGATAGTCAGATTCTTTCTGTATATCACTCTTTAGCTGCTTGAGGCCCTTTACTTATCTGGGTGTTTCTTTGGATACTAATCCATGGCCTAAGTCCTTTTGGGATCCAGTGGTACATAAGGTTTCTAAGCGCTTAGGTAATTGGAAGGGTGCTTTCTACTCTTTGGGTGGTCAGATAACTCTTTTTCAGTCAGGTCTGCTTGTCCACCATTCCTTTTATTACCTTTCCCTCTTCTGGATCCCCATTTTAGTGGCTCAAAGGATAGAAAGAACTTGAGGGGCTTTTTTTTTTTGTAAGGGGGAGTTTGGGGGGGGGGGGGGGGGGGGGGGTGGAGGGTTGTGTTTGGTCTTAGGAATTTGCTGTCCCAAATTTATTTCTTTGGCAGATAAGTGGCATAGTATCTTCCTCTATAAACTAATTCCTTATGGCACTGGATAATTCAAATAAAATTCCATTTGTACTAATACCATTTTTTTCCTGGATGTTTTTCTGTTTATGGTTTTCCTTTTTTGGGTGCTTACTTATGTATTCACAGTGTACTGATTCAATATCTCATTCACTTATAAATTTATTTAAGAATATATTTGTACATAGAGTTTTAATTCAGTGATTATCTTTGCCTTCATTGTCTGCAGGGTATGAGAGTTCCATTGTATGATAATCAGTTACTAAACTTAGCTGAAGATCTTGCCAGGAGGTTGTTACCTGCATTTGATACTCCTACAGGTATTGCTCGATTTATACACAGCTGTGCTTGTCTTGTACTGTTTTTGCTCTCATAATCTTCTTTCTCAATTCCAGAAAGGGTTATTTTTTGCATCCTTTTTTAAATTAAATATATTATTTTTCTAATTTTTACTTTTGATGGCATTGTATACCACCATACTGTTGACAGACACTGGCCCATACATGGTGAAGAATGATATAGTGTGTGTTTATGATAAAACTCTCGAGTGCTTCATATAGGACATTTAAGAGCAAATGTGACACTAAAGATCCATGCGTTCTGCTTCAACCAAATACACCAAAGAATTGCATAAACTGCACCCCATGTCAAAATCTTGGCTTCATTGTTTTCACCGTGACCTACAACTACAACAACCTCTCAACTAACAAGAAAATCTTTTTGTTTTGTTCACCCACACCAGATCATTGAAAAGTGCTCATAATTTGTCAGACCATAGATATCTTCAAATAACTATAAGATAGAAAAAACATTCTCAGAATTGTCGCTATCCTTCTTTGAAAGTAGTATTATTCAGCAAACTGAAGGTTGAACCCTAATCTAATCTGAACCAACTCTTATATAGTTCTATCCTTAATGAGATCCTTATCAAATATCAATAAATCTTGAAAACGTGTGACCAGTGTTGTAGAAATCGTCCGATTCACAATTCATATCCTACAGTTTGATATGATTTGCAATCCAAATGGTACAAATCGCAGAGGGAATCACATGTTGGCCGAAATTGCTGCATGAATGCCGGAATCATGCGATATGGTTAAAAATCGTGAATCAAGCCTTTCTTCTGATTCAAGCTCCTTTGGTTTTTGCACATCCCTTCCTCTGTCCATGTGGTTTGTTCTTGTAGAATATTCTGGATTGTGATTTATCATTTATTAGTGTCTCTTTGTATTGTACATAAGTCAAAGTTTTCTGCTTGCTATTTATTTATGTAGGTTCAGCTATTTATTGAGGTAGAAGTAGTTGAGGTAGTTGAGGTAGAAGTAGTTGAGGTAGCTTATTTATTGAGGTAGTTGAGGTAGCCCATTGTACTCAATATAAAAGGACCCATTGGGTCTCTCAATGAATTAAGAAAGTGTTATTCAGACAAAACACTTCTTCTTTTCTTCATGGTATCAAGAGCTGGTTATATTCCAGTCTCTTCCCCGTTCTGATTTATTTTTAAGTCATTTTCCTATTCCTTTTTTTCGTTTTAGCCACTGCCCAAGCCAGAATCCTTACCTAGACACCTCCAACCACGAAACCAAGGCCACCATTAGGTTCAGAACAAAATTCCGAGCCAGCCCACAGAAGACCCGTAGCAATACTGTTCATCACTGTAGCAGTATTGTTCATTACTGTAGCAATTACTGTTTCACTGTGGCCAACCCTCTTCCTGTTTTGAAGGTCAAAATCGTATTTGGAGGAACTTTTTTTCTGGGTACCTGTTGTTAGAAAGCCATGGACGCTGAAATTTTTTGAAAATTCGTCTTTTCAGAAATTGATGTCTCAACCTGCTGAGGCAACTAGTCATGTTGCTCAAAGAGGTATGGCATTCTATGTTGAACGTAGTAATCGTTGGATCCTTGATTCAGGGGCCTCTGATCACATGACAGGTAATGCAACCTTATTTTTCTCCTATACCCCTTACTATCACCCGTCACGAATAAGAACAGCTGATGAAAATTTCTCCACTATTGTGGGAAAGGGATCCATTAAACTTCCTGAACATATTATTTTGAACTCAGTACTTCATGTTCCCTCTCTTACTTGTAATCTCATCTCTATTAGCAAACTTACTGCTGAGTTGCATTGTGTTGCTAAGTTCTCTGCAAATGCTTGTATCTTTCAAGAACAGGACTCGGGGATGATGATTGGCAGTGTTAGAGAGGAAGAAGGGCTCTACTATTTTACAGAGGTTCATTGTGAAAAGAGGATTTTTTCGAACCACTCTCTATGTTTATCAGATGACTGTAATGATGTTTTGTTATGGCATCGTAGGTTGGGACACCCAAATTTTGTTTACCTCCAGAAGTTATTCCCGAACTTATTTATCAATAAAAAGCCAAGTTCCCTTCTTTGTGATATTTGTCAGCTTGCAAAGCACTCTTGTGTCACTTATTCTCCTTAGAAATATCATGAATCTTCTCCCTTTACATTGATTCATAGTGATATTTGGGGACCTGCTAGTGAAAAAAATGTCTCGGGTGCTCGTTGGTTTATTACTTTCGTTGATGATCATTCTAGGGTATGTTGGGTATATCTCTTAAAGGATAAGTCTGAGGCTGCATCCACTTTTAAAAACTTTCATACTATGATTCAAACTCAATTTCAGACCTCTATCGAAATTCTGCGAACAGACAATGGTACTGAATATTTTAATTCAGTTCTTGGAGATTACCTAAACCAACATGGAATTATTCATCAAAGTTCTTGTCCTAACACCTCTCAACAAAATGGGGTGGCTGAAAGGAAAAATAGACATCTAATTGAAGTTGCTCGAGCTCTTTTATTCACGATGCATGTCCCTAAATATCTGTGGGGGGAAGCCGTCTTGACAGCCTGTTATCTCATTAATCGGATGCCTTCTCGGGTACTAAATTTTCATTCTCCTTTATCCTGTCTTACTAAATCTTTTCCCTCTTTCAGTGCTCTTTCTTCTCTTCCTCCCAAAATATTTGGCTGTGTGCTTGTTGTGCATATTCCTCCATATCACAGATCCAAACTTGACCCTAAATCTATTCGATGTGTCTTCGTAGGATATTCCCCAAATCAAAAAGGTTATAAGTGTTACTCACCTTCTCTCCGTAAGGTTTTTGTTTCCATGGATGTTACCTTTTATGAAACACAATCCTTTTTTTCCCCGACTTCTCTTCAGGGGGAGTCTATTGGTCTTGGTATGGATGAAGATAAGCCTGGGAAATCAAATGATGCTGCTGTCTTACCTTGGCCTTTGAAACAGGGGGAGTTATTGGGAAGGAAACAGGGGGAGCAACTATACCTGAGTCTAATGGTCCTCCTTGTGATCCTCTTGGAAAATGGGGAAAATTTTACAGCAGGCGCAAAACACATCAAGATGCTCTAGACTGCCAGGATCCTGACTCGAGTCCTTGTTCCAGCAACCCACTTGAATGCACTAGTATAGCCAACATTGATATGCCTATTGCTCTTCGGAAAGGTACTAGATCTTGCACTGCTCATCCTATTTCCCATTATATCTCATATGAGAAGTTGTCTCCAGGTTTTCGTGCTTTCAACACTATGTTAGATAGTACTAGGATACCCAAAAATATCCAAGAAGCACTTGATGACCCAAAATGGAGGAATGCTGTATTAGAAGAAATGGATGTACTTATAAAAAATGGAACATGGGAGTTTGTGACATTACCTAAAGGAAAGAAAACTGTTGGCTGCAAATGGGTATTCACAATGAAATTTAATGCAGACAATAGCATCAATAGGTATAAGGCCAGATTAGTTGCTAAGGGATTTACTCAGACTCATGGGATAGATTATCAGGAGACATTTGCTCCTGTTGCCAAACTTAACACTATCCACGTTCTGCTATCTCTTGCCGCCAACCTTGATTGGCCATTGCAACAACTAGATGTTAAGAATGCCTTCTTGAATGGTGATCTACATAAGGAAGTTTACATGGATCCACCTCCTGGTTTTGAAAAAGGGGATGGTTCTGTGTGCAAGTTGCAGAAGTCTCTCTATGGACTTAAACAATCTCCCAGAGAATGGTTTGGAAAATTTACTCAAGCTGTTAAGGGACGAGGGTTCACCCAAGCTCAGATTGATCACACTTTATTTTTTAAACACTCCGACAAAGGAAGAATTGCTATTCTGATCGTTTATGTTGATGACATAATTGTCACTGGTAATGATAGCGAGGAGATAACCTCTTTAAAAAAATGTTTAGCTGATCAGTTTGAACTAAAAGATCTTGGATCTCTCAAATATTTCCTTGGCATGAAAATTGCTCGGAGTAAGGAAGGAATTTCTTTAATTCAGAAAAAATACATTCTAGACCTGTTGCAAGAAACAGGTATGCTTGGGTGCAAGCCGACAGAGACTCCAATTGAAGCTAATATCAAGATGAGAGTTGAGGACGGGGAAGATGTTGATAGGGAGCAGTACCAGAGACTAGTGGGAAAATTAATCTATTTGTCTCACACTCGTCCTGATATTGCTTTTGCTGTGAGCATGGTTAGCCAATTCATGCATTCTTCTAAGTAAAGACACCTTAGTGCTGTTTATAGAATTCTCAAGTTCCTCAAAAATACCCCTGGTCGAGGAATTTTCTTTAAAAAGAGGCACAAAAGGATGATTGAAATCTATACAGATGCAGACTGGGCTGGCTCTGCAATGGACTGAAGATCTACTTCAGGATATTGTACTTATGTCTGGGGAAACCTTGTGACCTGGAGAAGTAAGAAACAAAATGTTGTTGCAAGAAGCAGTTCAGAAGCGGAATTTTGGGCTCTAGCCCATGGTATTTGTGAAGGAATTTGGTTAAGAAAGCTTCTGGAGGAGTTGAAGATCTCTTATTCTCTACCTATCAGATTATATTGTGATAACAAGGCTGCTGTCAGCATTGCTCAAAATCTTGTTCATCATGACAGAACAAAACATGTAGAAGTTGATCGTCACTTTATCAAAGAAAAATTAGAAGACGGTAGTGTATGCTTGACATATATACCTACCAAGGAACAGACGGAAGATATCCTCACCAAAGGATTACTTAAGCCGACCTTTGAGGATTTGATCAGCAAGTTGGGAATGATCAATATATATATCTCCCAACTTGAGGGGGAGTGTAGAATATTCTAGATTGTGATTTATCATTTATTAGTGTCTCTTTGTATTGTACATAAGTCAAAGTTTTCTGCTTGCTATTTATTTATGTAGGTTCAGCTATTTATTGAGGTAGTTGAGGTAGAAGTAGTTGAGGTAGCTTATTTATTGAGGTAGTTGAGGTAGCCCATTGTACTCAATATAAAAGGACCCATTGGGTCTCTCAATGAATTAAGAAAGTGTTATTAAGACAAAACACTTCTTCTTTTCTTCAGTTCTGGTTTCAGATCCTCCGGCTTTTGCTCATCCCTTTGTCTTGTTTTTGCTGTGCTATAGTACCGTCTGGTTCCGGTATTTTATCTTACGTTTGAAAGAATCCAATGGCTTAGCACATAGCAGTTATATTCCTCGAAAGTCGAAATTGCTGCCTCAATCTCAAGATCTGAACGGTCATCCCACTCATTCAATTTTAACTTTCAATAAATCTAAATAACAACTACAACCTCATAAATTTTAAATCTCAATAAATCTTAGCAATAACAACTTGCCTTATCTTAGCAATAACAATTCAAATCTTAGAAGTTGTATTTCTTGAAACTATTACCCCATAAATTTTAAATCTCACTAACAACTTACCTTCAATAAATTTAGATAAATTTATTTTCAAATAATTTTTAAATAGATAAATAAAATTTTTTAACCAATTTTAAATAAAATTGGTTCAGGAAGTCTATCCAAGTCTAGCAAGATGATAACACAGCTGGAAGTGATAGTGATAACATTAGTCTTGATGATTGATGAGTGGGTGAATAAATAGTTTTAAATTTGGTTACCTATGTATTATAGATTTTTTATTTTTTTATTTCTACTTATATATTCAATAAATCATGTAGATGATATATTTTTAACTACTTTTCCTTACGTTTATGAATCTCATGATTCAATACGATTTACGATTCTCGATTCAAAAAACAAGCCTAATGATTCATGATTTGAATTGCGATTCAATAACCTTGCATGTGACGTAGATCATCAACCACTAAAATGAATAAGAGTGGGGATAGAGGTTCCCCTTGCTTAACTTCCTGCTGTACATGAAACCAAGATATCTGGAAATCACCATTCCACTTGTTTGCTTAGAGTGATTCTAAACTTCTCGTATTTTCAGTTTAACTTGATAGTGAATGTTGTTTTATCCCCTTAATAGTACATCATATCTTGACTTTTATATGCTATGATATATTGCAGGAATTCCATTTGGATCTGTAAATTTGTTACATGGAGTTGATAAGCATGAAAGCAAGGTAAAGTCTTAACCTATGCTTTCTCCTTTTATGTTAGAATATGTAGGTCTCTAAATGTTTTCTAGGCACTGATCTGGTAAAGTGGCTAGTAATTCCAAATGATATAAAAAACAAATGGTCAACTGATTTTAAATTAGCCCAGGAAATGGTTCAGAGACTGATCTTTGCTCCACTATTTTCCTTTTGAGAAACAATGAATCTTTCTTGAAATCCATTTCCTGCTCTTTTTTGTTTATCATACATATAATTTCAACCTATTTCTTGTTTCCATATTGTGTTAATAATTAGTATTTTGTGCTAAGATAACTTCAACAGCTGGTGGTGGGACCTTGACTCTTGAATTTGGAGTTCTAAGCCGTTTAACAAATGATCCTAGTAAGTTTACCATTTTACCTTAGATTGTTTGTAAGCATACATTATGCATAGAATCCATCACTTGTATAGTCTTCAAGAAGATTTGTGAACTAAAGTTCTAAATAAGTTGGTACCAGGTGCAACCTTGTATCCACTGTGAAAATAACCCTAGAAGTTACCAAAGATGAGGAACAATCTTTGAAATATCTTTCACATGTAAGAAATATGATTAAAGTTGGCCAACAAGTGAGAGGATTGTATTGTTGGCTTTTTTGTGTTTTACTCTCATTTCTGTTTCCAGAGTTTCTATCTGTTTACACTTGTATTTTCTTTTATATATCAAGAAAGAGAGAGAGAGAGAGAGGGAGAGAGAATGGAAAATAAATGGAAAAACCTGTATTCCTAGCCAATGTTATGCCCTACCTTGACTATATCTATTTCCATTCAATAACAGCAGTCAAGCCTTATCCCACTGTGTGGGGTTGGCTTGAGATTTATCAAAAACTAAAATTTCTCAATAGTTATTTAGAGTTAGGTCTTTTTTAATTGTTTCTCCTAATTTTTTTTTCTTCCTCTATCTCTTTTAATCGGACTATCTTTCATTTGATTCACTTTTCATTGGTGCCTCTATTAGTCTTCTTCTCACATGACCAAACCATCGAGAGTTTCTACCATCTTCTCCTCAAACTCTAATATTCTTCGGTAAAAATCGTAATATAGATATTCCTCTCTAATAGTTAAATCCTCCAAGTTCATTATTGTTGCATGGCCTTAGTTGAATAATATTTAGAAGGGAAAAACATTTCTACAGTTACTGCAGAAGTTATTATCTACCACACACTTTGTACTCCCCGGAGTACATAGGCAAATTTTTTTACACGAACTGTATTACAGGGGACCCACTCCTTTTTTTGTGAGAGTGACAAACAAACTTTTCTGCAGCAACTGTAGAAAAGTAAACCCTATTTAGAAAATAGCTCCCCTCTTAAAGAATTAGAAGGTCTAGTATACTGCGATGTATGATTTGATCAAAATCCTTTTTGTACAGATTTCGGATGAGAAACTGTCATCCCATTCAATTGAATTGGGATGTCCTGGATCTGACATGTCTCTTGGGATAAGTAACATGAAGCTCAGAATTATGGGTATATTGAATACTCCCGAGAAAAAGGGAAGAATTGGTCTAGAGTAACTTTTATCCGTTGAGCGACGGCCCTTCCACTCGGTACCGTCAGATCACTAAGGCCAAAATACGAGCTTGTTTTATAGCAATCGTAATTAATCGTTGTTGTTTTAAGGTCAATCTATTCACACGTCTAGATAATATTTTTCCTTGTTCACTAATAAATCGACTAATTAAACTCATGTTTTTATAATCAATTCGATCCCCCGGCCCATTGCGGAAAATTCCCCACTGCTGCCTCCCGTAGGAGTCTGGGCCGTGTCTCAGTCCCAGTGTGGCTGATCATCCTCTCGGACCAGCTACTGATCATCGCCTTGGTAAGCTATTGCCTCACCAACTAGCTAATCTATCATTCCTTAGATATTCAGGTGATCTAGTCACTACATACACACCTTCGTTGTCATCTTTAGAATGTTATCTCTTTTTGCTTTTTACCAATACCAAGTGGAGATTGTTGACATTTAAACTTGTTTTAACCTCTCTGACTCTCCTACCAAGAAGTATTTTATTCTTTGTAATTATCGGTTACCTTTCTATTCCCATTTATAGCTTTGCAGATTGACTCTGTCCAGTTAGTATACTGTTGCTTCTTAAATGTTGTCAGTTTTCTCTTTCCACAATGTAAACTATGTGCTTTGGTTTTTAGCTTTTCTTTATATGTTCAATTTTGCTATTCTTCGCTCTCTTGGGGAAAGGGAGACAAGGTCTTATTACTTATTGTCCTTTCTTTCTTTGTGAATGTTTGACATTCAGTTTTTGAACAAGTCACCAAGAATGCAGTGCTTGGACTTTGGGCACGACGTTCAAAGCTTAATCTTGTTGGTGCTCATATTAATGTTTTTACAGGTGAATGGACTCAAAAGGTACAGAATATATTTTTATTTGTCGAAAGTTAAATTTTAAAGAGTTTAAAGGAAAATATATATATATATATATATATATATATATATATTCTGATATTATGACACTATTTATTTTGATGCATTATTTCATTTATTAATTTTTTTAGGAAGCAAATTTTTAACATAGTAGAGCCATGAGATATATAGCTCTACTTTCTTTACCAAATATAGTGCCTTTTATTCCAACTCCTGTTTTACCTACATGTGTCCTTGTAATACATTTGTATGCCCTATTCCTCTGGTATGAATAAATATACAGGGATTCTAACTACAGCTATGTAATTGATTCTCATATGTCAACACTGTTATATCATCTGACTAACAACATTCACTGAGGTTTTTATGTTCTTTGTTTTATTTTAATTTGGGTTTCCTTTGTCGACAAGCTGAGAGCTTAATAGACTTCCAGCTTGAGGGGGAGTAGTAAGGATGTAGTATAATTACCAGGAAAGTGTTTTCCGGAGATTAATGATTAGTTACTTGTAGTGCAGTCAAAGAAGAGTATAAGAGTCATTATGTATTTGCTCTATTGAGTATAGGAGGGGTTTAGGTTTGGCTTGTGTATTCAACTATTCTGAGTAATTAATGAGTGAACCTTCTCCTTGTATCTGGAACCAGAGGCCCCTTGGTATGAAAAAAAGAATGATAAAGGTAATAAGAATACAACATGTGTATAATGAATTGTAGGACTTAGGATTGACCTTAAATGAAGTTGTGGCTATTGATGGTGTTGACCTTACCTCTGGCTCATGACTTGAACTTATCTGTCTGCTAATTTGTTTTCATTTCTTTAGTGAGTAAACTAATTTTCTTTTAGAGCTGTTTGTGTTGCTTCACTAGATATTGGCTTGGTCTCTTATTGAAGAATTTGAGCTGTATATATTCGAAAATCATCTATTGTCTCATAGCTTTGATTGTATAGTTGGCCATGTGAAGAGGCAAAAAATGTGCAAAGTATGAATTTTCTGTTGTTTTACAGTTTCTAGATGTTGCCACTGATCTGTCATTGTCCCAGTGATGTTCCTTTACCTGAATATGCCTTACTTTTCAATTAGGACTTAGATTCTTCCAACTTTTATGTATTAGTGGCAACTACAGCTGTCTCTTTTCCTTCTTGCAGGATGCCGGGATAGGAACTAGTATTGACTCTTTCTATGAGTATCTGTTAAAGGTTAGTAGTAACAGGAATTTAGTATGGTGAAGCCTCCCTGGAACAGTTTGCACTGAAGAGTTAATTTCAATGATTATGCAAAAGAACTATTGTTCTTGTGGTTATCTAGATTTGCTTTAATATACTAAAATATACCCATGATGTTGTAGAAATTTTGTTTACATATTTTATGTGGTGATGTGTTTCCCTTTGTGTGTGTTTGTGAGTGAGGCTACGAGCACACACGTGTTTTTGTTTTATTTGCTTTTTCTGCTTTGCCGTATAATTTGATTGTGCGGTCTCTTTCATAAATAAATAAGTAAATCTACTCTCCATAATATTCTTCCCATTTGTACGTTTTCCTTCTTTTGCTTCCTTCTATTTTATCTGATTTAGGAAAAAGATCTTATAATCTGATTTTGTGCTTTCTTTATTAATTAATCAATTCATCTTTTACCAAAATATTTAAGAAAATGATTTCTCTCTCTATATCTACCATAAACATATAAGTACAACTGCTCAGCATGATATTCTTCTTATTCCAGTTGTTTAAATTTGGTATTAAGGATTTAGCTATAATTCATTTTATGCACTAAGGACTTTTTTTAATTTAATAGAGAAAAAGGAGGTAGTATTGAGGACTGTCATTACATTTACAAATCTCTAAAGTTAGTCTGATTGTTGCTGCCAATTTATTTATGCTTGTCAGCTCGATGTATTTTGCTGATATGATGTATGATTTTACTACATAAAAAAGATGTGGTGCTCAAAGACCTTGGGGAAAATTGCAAAATGGAATTATCGGTTAAAATATTTGAAGTTTAGGAACATTTATCTACTTAAGTGATTGATTAAGTCCGTGGTTATTGATTAACCAATTTTTAAACATATTTTTACTGAGAAGTGAGAATTAATTTTCCTCTCCTTTTTCTTTTGTAATTTCCCCCTTTTCTTTGGGCTTCACTTTTTTAGTTAATATTACATTGGGTTCTCTGATTTTGTTTTCCATAAATGATCTTTCAGGCTTATTTATTATTTGGAGATGAGGAATACTTGTATATATTCCAGGAAGCTTATGCTGCTGCCATGCATTATCTTTACCATGATCCTTGGTAAAAGCTTGTGGCTATGTATGCCACCCTGTAAATATACTTGACTTGCTGTCTAATTATTTGAAACTCCAGTATTTTTAATTTGAAATTATTTCAAATTTGAAACTCGGACTTGTGTTTATGCTTGAAGGTATGTAGAAGTAAATATGGATTCTGCTGCTATTGTCTGGCCATTATTTAACAGTTTGCAAGCATTTTGGCCTGGCCTTCAGGTTTTTCTTTTTCTTGTTTTTGATGTAATTTTGTGTTTTTAATTGACCCTGGATAAATAATAATATCATGGCTAGGGCTAATTGACGCGTGTATTTTTGCAAGGTTTTAGCTGGAGATATAAATCCTGCAATTAGTACCCATGCTGCCTTCTTGAGTGTCTGGAGAAGATATGGCTTTACCCCCGAAGGCTTTAATCTTGCTACTCTCAGTGTTCAGGTATATTTAGTTCTAACACCTGAGGGCCAGTATGGCTTGTTTACGTTTAGTTATAGCTTGAGCCTTCTTTCTACTAGTAGCATTTTTGGGTAATTGGTGATCTCTTGCACCCGAATTTAAACAATATCCTCTTAAATAAACCATTAGCTTAAAATCTCTGTTCATGTAGTAAATAAATCTTGGTTTATCAAAAAAAGAATCTCATTAGAGAGGAAATTGGAAAAGCACAACTATGGCAATGATAAGATATCCTCCAAACAGAAAAGTCAGGATAGAACGAGGAACATGAAAAATCAAGAATGTGACAAGGCTGCCACCCAGTCTATGTTAGAAATGGTGACACTCTTGAAACATCATGAGCAGAACACTAAAGAGAAGCAATGAACTAAATTGTATCCCATAACAAGTTTAACGAATAGTGGCATCCTTGCAGATGAGAGCATTTGACTCTGAGCAAATACAGCATAGAATTGGTAAGACTGCACATTGGCAAACATTTAAAATGAACGGTAAAAAACTTCTTCATAGCAAGACACACCCTATGATTACCCAGAGTCCCAAAAATATTGTTCCATAGGAATGTAGACTGCTAGCTGCCTTATAGTGCAAGGACAAGTGACCTGCTTTTTGAAGTTAGATCTAAACATAACATCGAGAGAAAGAGTAGTGAGATATTCTGCAACAAGTGTTGATATGAAAACTACTCATAAGATGAACATTAGTTTTATCTACGATGGGTTTGACAGGTTTGTCTTGTCAGTGTTATCTAGGATGGGTTTAACAGGTTAGTGTTATACCTTAGAGCAATTTAAGCAGTTAATGACAGATTAACTGTGCAAGATTTTAAGATGTAACCAGTCATTCAGTTGATGGCCCTTTTCTACTCGTTTACATTTGACCAAGTCTAATAATTTTTCTTGCTGTTAGAAAATAATATAAACCATTAAAAAAGCCCTCACGCAACATCTTAAGGTTTTGGCTTGAATTGGTTCTTTACATGGTATCAGAGCTTCGGTGTCCCGAGTTCGATCCTCGCTGCCGCCTACTTTCTCTTGTGGAATTTCTTAGCATAGGTAGGTAGGCCTGTGCATTGTCTACTCTTCAAGCCCAGTGTGCTCTCGTGTGAGGGGGCGTGTTAGAAAATAATATAAACCATTAAAAAAGCCCTCGCCCAACATCTTAAGGTTTTGGCTTGAATTGGTTCTTTACACTTGCCAACAGGAAAATATATTAATTTTTTTTTTTTCCTGAGGAATTTTTTGCTTGATTATCTCTAATATGTATGAACTGTGTATTCTTTTTTTTCTCCCATTGTATCAGCATGGGCAAAAGAGTTACCCATTGCGGCCCGAGTTAATAGAGAGCACCTATTGGCTATACAAAGCTACCAGAGATCCTAGGTCTGCTTATATCTGCTTTTAGTTTGTGATATCATTATAATTTGGCTGCTTATGTCTGCTTTTGTAATATTAATTATAGTACTATGACTATATACTGGATATACATAGCTCTCTTTATTAATGTAAATAATACTAGTGGTGTATAATGTTAAGTACTTACACATTCAAAAGAAGGGTTCTCTCTCTAAAGATCCTCTCTCTTTTCATGTTTGTTGCCTACTTCATTTTCTTTATGTTAAAGCAATATTCACGAGCATGGTTTAGGAAATTTAGCACAGTTTATTTTATTTATTTATTTTTTTTCAATTCCAGCATTGCATGATTTCTCAGTTTCACTCGTATCAGAATATTATTCAGCAAATTACTCTTCACTTCCGCTTCACGGTCCCTCTTTTTCTTTTTTGTTTCACGGTACCTTTTTTTAGCTTTTTTTTCCCCCTCAGAATCTGTAATCTTCTCACTTATCTGTTCATCCTCCCTCTTTGATTTTTATTTTTTTTCAACTTCTGCTACTCTGATCTTGTTGGTCAGAGAGACCCTTACTCATTACTGGCACTGTGCCCAACCCTTCTCTTCCATTCAAGCTGTGTTGATCCTTCAAAGCTTGCAAGCCAACATCCTGATACCATCAAGAAACAGCCAGTGAAGAATATGCCACTGTTGAATGCACATTGGGAGAACTGGGATGGATCTTATCCACAATGGGTGGCCTCTGATGCTATCAAGAAACAGAGATGAGAGTAACTGTATGTCTGGGCATGCTCATTGATTTCTTGTTTGTAGTATAGATAAAATCTAGAAAGGGGATAAATAAAATTACTTAAGGAGCTGATTACTATGTAATTTACACCAATCAAATACAATTGACTAAATACTTATATTGTAAACATTAATTCTGATAATCTAACAAATTTCATGTTTTCTTCTAGTGTTTCAAGAGAATAACATTATAAATTCTGAGAGTAGACTTAAGGACTAAGAGTCAGTCCCTCTCTTTCTCTGGACTGTCAATTACCTAGTGTCATTGTGGGTATTCTTGCTTTATTTTCTCTCCTTTTAAAGGGAAAGCCAAAAACGGGTAGATATATCGCATGTTTTCTTCTAGTGCTTCAAGAGAATCTCATTATCAATTCTTAGATTATATTAAAAGTAATAATAAGAACATCAATTTTTGCTGGCAAGCAAAATCTACAAAAAGTTGCTTTGGGTGGGTCAAAAATCCTTTTGATCATGATAAATAGATGGATGGTTTTCACTGTATTTTGTTTGATCTTTTTGTCACCATTCTTCTTTTACTTTTAGAAAATGCTTTGTCATTCATCAAGTGATCTACTTTTATGATTTTCTTTCTCCTTTTTCTCACGCAAAAATTGGAAATTGGGATTACTTTTTATTGTTCAACTTCTGTATACTTTTTGTTGATATTTGTGACGTAAGTTGTAATTTATTGACATGAAGCTTAATTCTGTCATATTTGTTTCTTTGTAGATATCTTGATGCTGGGAGGGACATGGTTGCTAGTTTACAGTATGGGACTCGATGCCCTTGTGGATATTGTCACATTTCAGATGTTGAGCATCACAAACAGGAGGACCACATGGAGAGCTTCTTTTTAGCTGAGACAGTAAGAATAAATTCTACATGACTTTTTTTTTTTGGTGAACTAATTCTACATGACTTAATTTTGAGAACATGGCTCTCCTAAACTTTTTCAAACCCAAAAAATAAAAATAAGAAGCATAAGGATCTGTTTGGTTTGTGGAAATATTTTCAGTTTTCATTATTTATTTTCATTGTAAGTTTTTCATGAATTTGGAAACTTTGGTATTGATATTTCCATTTTCAGTTTCCTTTTCCCTCAACCTCATCCCCAATCCCTCTTTTCTGTGACACCCATCCCAATTTTTTTGTGTCTTCTGCGAGCCCACTTTGCAGAACCAACCAAAACAAAATCATTCCCCGCCTTGTGGAACCCATTCATTTGACCTCGTTGAGCCATAGCTATGGAACCTCCAATCCCAAATAACCATGTCAACACCGTGACTGCCAGTCTCACTGCCATGACCTTTAACCCGCCTATCCCTTGGAAAAGCACCACCACCATGGCACTCTAACTCAACCCAGAACCACACCATAGAAAGCCCCAACATTCTCACAAACCAGCTAGTCATGAACCCAAGACCAGCACACCAAACCACTGTCTGCCTCCACCTTTGTGCCACCATCAAAATACCACCCAGCATCTCACCGTTCCTGCAATCTGCAAGAAGACTGCTATAATAGAGTGAAATAAGAGAAAGAAAAACAAAAAGAAGAAAGAAACTAAAGTCATGAATTTTTTTAAAATGCCACCACATGAAGAGTGAAAACCCTGAAAAGGACTTTTTATTTTCAAAATTACTGGAAACATGGAGTTCATTTTCTAAAATTGAAAATGAAAATACCCTATCAAACAAGTTTTCTTTGCCAGTTTCTGTATTTACTTAAAGTGAAAGAAAAAAAAATTAAAACAAGCAAGCCATAATCTTTTCAGTTGTGTTTCACTGAAGAACATTGTCAGATCAATCTTTATTTAGGGCTCCAACTGGTGGTGTCCTTAGTAGGATTGAGAATTGCGTGGGAAATTAATATTTTTTTGGTGAGGCTCTCATACTATATCAAGGACCAACTCTCCTAAAAACATAACTATTTGGTCGAAGTTTAGGAATGGTTTTATGTCTCTATCAATTCCCTTTTTTTTGAGTTTCTCTTTTTCTTCCTTCATAAACTATGCCTCTGATTATCCTTAATATTTTCTGTTGAGATATATAAAACTATTAATATAGCCTCACCCAATAGCTTAAGCTTTTGGGTTGAATTGGTTTTTTACATGGTATCAGAGCTTCGTGTCCTGGGTTCGATCCTCGCCGCCTCCCACTTTCTTTCAAGTGGAATTTCTTTGTTAGCACAGGTAAGTGGGCCTGTGCATTGTCCACCCTTCAAGCCCAGTGAGCTCTCGTGTGAGGAGGCGTGTTAAGATATATAAAACCATTAATATAGCCTCACCCAATAGCTTAAGCTTTTGGGTTAAATTGGTTCTTTACATTCTCTTACCTTTGATATTTTGTCTTTGTCTATTTTTTTTTTCGTTTAGAAGAGAAATGCTGCTAATAACCTATGTTACAATTAGGTCAAGTATCTATGGCTTCTATTTGACTTGGCCGTTGGTCCTGATAACCTTGTGGAAAATGGGCCGTACAAGTGAGTGAGCTTATGCATTTACAATTTATTGGCTGAACATTTTGCAATAAAATTGAGTAACTAGTTTCTACATTTTACTATGAAACAGGTACATATTCAGCACTGAAGGCCATTTACTGCCTACGACTCCTCAGATCTCCCTAGTGAGGGAGCATTGTTTATACCTTGGGGCTTATTGCAGGAGTGGTGATTCGAGACAAACTTATTTTGTATCGGAGGCTGACAAGTATAAGCAAGAATCCAACAATAGTAGATTTTATGGGAGCTGGACTAAAGCTACATATACATCGGACTACAGTACTTTTGAGCCAAGTGCCGATTCTGGTTTGATCAAGGTATTCAATACTCTTTCCTCCTTCACTCTTGGACTCTTTCCCTCCTGTTAGAGAATAATATAAACCATTAAAAAGGCCTCACTCAATACTTTAAGGTTTTGGGTTGAAATGGCTCTTCACATAGTATCAGAGCTTCAGTGACCACAGGGTTATGAGTTCGATCCTCACCTCTCCCATTTTCTAGTGGAATTAAATAAGCACAAAGTAAATCAAAAATTGGGCTTGTGCAATAATATCCACGCTTCAAGCCCAAACGGCTCTTGCGTGAGGGGGTGTGTTGAGAATAATATACAACATCAACATTAACAACACATTTATCCCAAATTAATTGGGGTCGGTGGTATATGAACCCAAATAAAAGATACAAAAAAGTTGAAAAAATAAAAATAATAATAAAAATAAATAAATAGAATAGTAAATATATATATATATATATATATATATATATATATATATATAAAAGTAAAAAAAAAAAGAAAGGGAAAAGAAGAAGAGGGGGAAATGAAGGGGAAAATGACTAAAAAGGGACCATCTGGAACATAGGAATAACAATGGGTCTAACCCTCCACCATGCTTATAGCTTTTCTCCATTCCGTTCTAAGGCATACTGTCCGCCAATCTATATCCCACTCCATTAAATCTTGTTTTACTACCTTTCCCCAAGTAAGTTTTGGTCTACCTCTATCTTTTTTTGTGTTGAGCTCTTGGTAACAAACTTCTATTCTTACGGGAGCATCCATGGGCCTTTTCATTACGTGCCCAAACCACCTCAATCTATGTTCTCTCATCTTCTCAGCCACCGATAGTACTCCTACCTTTCGTCGAATATCTTCATTTCTTATCTTATCCATCCTCGTATAACCCATAGTTATCAAATGCGGATTGCGGCATGTCGCGGCCAACCCCGAAAAACGCTATAGCGTTATAGTGGTTGCGGTTGCGGAAATAGCAGAATAGATATATGACAGAAATAATGACAAAAAGAAACATTTTTTAAAGGCAAAGATAGCAGAAGTGATAGAGAGAGACGCGGATAGACTAAAAAACACTTAAATTTAGGACAAATTTGACATTTTGCCTTATGACAACAATATGGCTGCAAATGCGATCGCAATGACCGCTATTGCCTTCCTGTGCGGCACGGTGCGGTTTATTGCGGCGAGGCACCGCAACGCCTATACGGCGCGGCTCGCGGGGCTATTGCGGCGCAATTAACTACTATGGTATAACCACACATCCACCTTAACATCCTCATCTCTGCAACTCCCATTTTATGCTCATGTTGAGAATAATATAATTAAAAAGGCCCTCACCAAACACCTTAAGGTTTTGGGTTGAAATGATTCTTTACACCTCCTTTCACAGTATTCGTGTTACTCCCGCTGAATATTACTCTTGGACCCTCTACTTCCCTCCTTTCATATCATTCCTGTTTTGGTTTAAGCCATTCTCCTGATAACCTGATGAGAAAGGGAATGTAGGTGTAATATTTCAAAGTGTCACTGCCCATGTTGTGCCTGTTGTCTCATGTTCAATGTCTAACAAGCATGTCCTTGCTTTATATGTTTGAAGTGACATAAATTTTTGTTGACAAGTATATGCCAATGGGTAATGAAATGATGCATACATTCAAGAATAAATAAGAGATGGTTAGAAATCTGATCTGTATTAATCTGTAATTCAAATTTGAAGCATTCTTTCTTTTTGAGTATTTTGTTATAATTCTGCAGGGTTTCTGCCCAGGACTAAATCATGGACAGAAGTTTGGCATATTATACGTGCATCCAACTGATGAACATCATGATTATGAAACCATCCAACAGAAATAATCTATTACTGTACAAAGTCATTCAGTATTGGTTCTTCCTGACCAGAGTTATAACCATTTGCTACCTGACTATAGCAATGATCATAATGATAATCAGACCCTTGAATCAAACGTTACTTCTTGAAGTGAGGGAGATTTCTGGTGCTAGCAGAAACCAAGGTGCTGATTCCAACAATGTAGGAACTCCAAGATCTTAGCTATGCAAGAGGATTGCTGGGAAGTATATATTTTTCAAGGGTTGTACTTCTCAAACTTCTTCAGGCTCTCCACCTGAAATATAAATCTGAGTTTTGTTAGTTTGTTAGTAATTGGGAAAGCATAAATTTGATAATTTCGGCAACTGTTGATACAATGAGCATGGAGCTGAACGAGTTGACTTATGCATGAACTGACCCGTTGGATACGTTTCATAGGTTGTGCTACCAAAAGGTCTTAAGACAGTATCCTGCCACCTAAAAGAGGGTAATGTAATTCTTTTTGTTGTATCATTGTTTCCTATGATTCATGTAACCTATTGCCATAGTGATCTAATCAGTGTACATAATTATCCATTTTGGATGAACAATTTCAATTGCAGATAGAGTAGCAAATCTTAATCATCCATTTTGCTCACTTAAGATTCCTTTATGGGGAGTGGAGAAAACTGCTGTATAGAACAATTTTAGCCGGATTAGGTCAAGCATTACATAATTCACAGGATGTGTGGGACAATATATATACATGGAAAGGGTCAACGTGGTTGTAAGTCTTACACCCATTAATAGTTAGTCCAACTCGTATCCAATAATTTTAATTTTTTATTCACGCGAACGTGAGATTTACAACTAACAATGAGTGTAAAACTTTTGGTTTATACTCGCGTCAGTTGATCTTTCTCTAAAGTATATTTCAACTTTTGAGAGATTTATGGAAGGTTCGGAATGGAAAATGGTTTAGAAGACTCTGTAATTCCAGCCTTGTTTGGCAACTTTCACTTTTTATCGGACAAATATATCATTCCTTTTGTTCTTAAAACAAACCTTTATTAATAATTTTTGCAATTACTACTTTTACAAGCATCTCTTTTTTTTTTTTTTTTTTGGTATGACTTTTACAAGTATCTCTAGAATGCTTATTCGATACTTTTTCCATAATGAAACAGGATCTCGTTTTTTCGTTCTCTCTATATCGTGCGCATAAATTGTTGATCGTGGAATTATTTTAGGAAAAAATATTTTCTAGTTACTGCAGATAAATTATCTGTATTTATTCTCAAAACGTCATTTTGGTATTGAAATATTAAAATATAAAGATTATTATAATCCTGAAATAAATTAAAATTATAAAATATCATAATTTTTACCCCAAAACGACGTCGTATTGGGCTTACTGCAGATAACTTATCTGCAGTAATTGCAGAAAAAACGAACTCATTATTTTATTGGGTTGCAAGTTCTTGTAAATTAACTCATGCTTCTCAGTATTGTGACAGTACTTATTTATCGGTAACGCTACTCTATAAGTAGTTCTTTTATTTTGGGTACATTATAAGTAATACATTTTTTGGGTACATAATAAGTAATACTTTATGCACACGATAATTCAATCTTTTTGCGCCGTTCCATTAATATGTAATGTGATTATACTTTCAACAATTTTACAAGTCACATGGCGTTGTTCACTGATAAAAAATCAATGGGGCAAATTTTTACTCTTCTTGGACTGACCAAAGCACACCTGGCCCGGATCTAGTTTAGGTACTCTTCTTCACAAAATTTTGTCAGAATTTTTGGGCTTGTATAAACGTCAATCTTATTTTTGCCTTTGCCTTTTGTCAAAGGCATCAGTTGAAGGAAGGAAAAGAATGAAAGTCAAAGCTTGAACATTTATCAAGTTTGCTCCAATCGGACGTTGAGGACAAATGTTCATAAACGTGAGGGCTTTATACATCTCGTTTTACATAAAAAAAGCAAAAGTTTATGCATACACAAAAAATGATAAACTCCACGTCAATTTTTTTCTCTCACCTCTTTCACTTTTCGCTCTCATAAATTTTGTCTTTGCTATAAGAGAGATAATTTATCCAACATGAGAAGTCTAGGATCCCTTAGCATTTTTTGGGGGGCCGTTCTACACATGTTCACATGGAGAAAAATTTCAATGCACCAAAATACTGAATTCGATATTTTTTTTATTAAATAAGAAAAAAACTAAGACTTAAAGAAAAATATAAAAAAAATAAAAATAAAAGGAGAAATTTCTTTCCCTAAATAATGAAAAGTAAGATCGAATTATTTGATATTCCTAATGCATTGACGTTTTTCTCGTTCATATGGCGTGGCTTCCCTCAACAAAACACTAGGGTCACATTACCCTACTCTGCCCTAGCTCCAAAGTTTATATATATTATATTTATCAAATTAAAAGGCACTCGAGGTAAGAGTACACCTAGAGGTAACTTAAAATTCCCCAAAATACTTTCTGATAGCACCATGATGATGTTGCCTTTTTTTTTCTTTGGTATGGATGATGTTGCCTTTATGTCAAAGACAAGTGACCATTTCTTTGTATGAAAAGGCTAATATTCTAGTCCATTGTATGACCTAGGGATAGGAAAAAGACCCTTAATTTCATATTACTACGGGTAACTTTATATATATATATATATATATATATATATATATATATATATATATATATATATATATAGAGGCAGGATCATCTTACACCGGTGTAAGAATAAGAAGTCTTACACCAAATCTTAACCATTGATTTTCTTCATCTAACGGTTAATATTTATTAGGTCTCACTCATTAATTAATTTTTAATTCCCAATAAATCTCAACCGTTAGATGCACGGAAATCAACAGTTAAGCTTTAGTGTAAGATTTATTATTTTTACACTGGTGTAAGTTGATCCTATCCCATATATATATATAGGGTTATATACTTCTTCTGTCACTGCAGATGAGAAAAAGTGCACCAATACTTATTTTTATCAGGATACGCGTCCGAATCCTGATGTGTTTTTTTTTTTTTTTTTTAGGCCAGGATACGACCCCGTATCCTAGTGTTAATAATTTGCTGCAACTTTTCTCATCAGCAAAGAAAGGAGAAACGACGAACCCATATATATATATATTGACTTTTTTTATTATCAAAATTATTTTTTATATTAATCTTAATTACTTCTTGAAGATGAGTTAACTCTCAAATATTCCCATAAACTTTAACTATTTAAATTAGTTATGAGACTAATTTCGAATCATGATATAGTCACACTTAAAACTTAAAATCATGACCCTTTTCAAAAATATATTTGATAGAAATCAAATTTAAATTTTCTCTCAACATACTTAAACTATATTGTCAGTTGAGCTACAACCATTGTGTATCAACTTTATCGTTAAATTTGTATAAAGTTGCATAATTTGTTTTATTTAACTGATCCACAAATAATTCAACAATTTTATGCATTAACTAGCACATTTTATTTTATTCTTCAAGAGTTATTTACATAATATTTGTCTTGCATTTTGCTAGGATCAGCCCTTTCTGACGTTACTCGGCTGTCATCGTAACGTGGAAGCATAAGCTCTCTCTCTCTCTCTCTCTCTCTTCTGGTGAGTAGCATATGTTCTTTTGTCAACAACATTTTGAAACATCACTGTTTAAGGTCTGCAAGAATTATTTTTCTTTAATTGTGACATTTACTGGCCTAAAATCTCATTGTTCCCTGCTCCAAAGTGTAATAGTAAGGACAGTTTCTGCTGTATCAGTAAAATATTGTGCACATTTTCATTTTTTTTCTTTAGAGTACCTTTCCTTAAACTTTGCCGGGAAAAGGGATCTAAACTTCTTGGCCACATTCATAGTATAAATATTTAATATTGCAAGACCTTGTTATCCTGTGTAGTTTATTTATTTGGCTACAAAACTACCGGCTAATCAGAAAGTATATACAATGAACTTATCGCAAAACTGAAGTTATGTCGAGTGAATATTATTTAATAAGACTTTAGCATGTTTAATCACATTAACTTTTCTAAAAAGAAGCAATATGCTGACCCTGATATAGATAACTTTACATGCATCATATGAAGTGAGAAAAGCAAACACAGACACAGTCTGAAAGTGATGCACCTTCATGTCATGCCAAGGATTCTTATATGAATAATAAAATAAAATATTAGTCAAAACATTGTTTACTGAGGTTAACAGATTTTCTCATTGATCGATAAGATTTTATGATCGGAAAACAAATAATTATTCATATCAAGCATCAATTAATATTTGATGGGTAAACTGTAGAGATATATATTCTCAAAGGCATTTCATAGTAAATAATTAATGAGCATATCTTCGTTGCTACAGTTTACAAGAGTATGTATTTTTTTATTAGAAATAAAAAAATATATAGAATTCAGGTTATTAATCATAAAAATAGGTGAAATAAGTAAAATTAATGCATTATTTTTTTCTATTTTTTTTTCTAATTTTAACAATGTTGTTCTATGTCTTCCATATTATAAAATAAAAGTACAGAATATAATTTTTTTGATTAACAAAAGCATACTTACAATAGGAAAGAAATAAAAAAAAAAGTTAACAATTTTTTACCCCCAAGAGCTTGATCAGTTATTTGAATAATTCGGTTCGTGTATTGTTAAACCTATACTAACGATGACGCTATCAAAATTATTTTTTATTTCAAGACTCGAACTTTAAGATAAATTTACCATTAATATAAAGAAGATATTGCATTATACCTTAAAGAAGAAAATGTTAAGTAAAAAGATAATTTTAAAGGAGATAAATAAATGTTTATATAAAAAAATAGCATGTAAATTTGTTTAACAAAATAATAATGTATGATTCTATATATATCTAAAAAGTCTTATATCTCTCCTATATTTTTTTTTTCCAAGAGTGACACAAAACTCATGGGACCAACCAGAGTAAAAAAAAAAAAAATAGGGTGGCACAATTTTGATGACGAGGCAGGAGACAAATTTTTTCTCCAGTAAAGAGATTATATTTTTCCATATTTAAAATTAAATATAATGACGAATATTTAGGTTTTTTTTTTTTTTTTTTTTTAAAAAGTTGCATTTAAAGATATGTAAAAAAATGGGGTAAGTTATTCTTATATTAATTAAAAATAAGAAATCTTATATCAAATTTTTATTAATTTATTTATATTTAATAGCTCACATATTTAATAAATTAAAGTCGTTAAATATAAATAAAACTAATAGCTAAAATTATAATATAAGTCATAAAATGAACTTGATCTATAAAAAATATATATTTAAAATGTTATTTTTTTATTGTGGGGTTTTAATTATGGGTATTTAAAGCGTAACTAAAAAAAAAAAGAAAAACCTTTTTTAAGCGTGCTAGGACTGTGGAGACGAAAATTGAATAGTTCTTTTCTCATGGTGCTTTTCTTTCTTTCTCTTCTCTTTTCTTTTGCAAATGATAGGCAGTGAAGGATATTCTACAGTTAAGGAACATTTCATTGTCTCGAAAGGTCATTGAGTTCACAGCAAAAAGAGGAGTCATTGAATATTACATTTGTGTGGTTTAGTCTTGAGAAACCAACACAAATAATAATTACTTACCATTAACCAGGATAAGTCCTTCTAAGCTCTAACCCCAAAAAAAGATGAACACAAAATAGAGGAAAAAAGCCACCATAGGATTTATCGTTTGAGATAATTTTATCTCCGGTCATCTCAAAATTATATTTTTTTGATTGTTAGGAGAATTAATAAAATTTGAGAAATTAGGAGAATTAATAATTTTTTTTTTAATATTTTTATTTATTTATTATATAAATTTTACTAAAACACCTTTCATTATTATTAAAAGAAGCTGCTTCTTCTTATCCCTATATTTTAATGAAGTTCACTGCAATGCATGAACTTATATATGCACACTTATCTTAAAAGCTGCGTCCCATTAATGTTTTCTCGATGCATCTTGGCTAATAAGGTGAACTGCATACAGTCCACGTTGAATGATCGTTGTGCCATACGATTATAAAATAATTGAGATATATAGTTTTGACTCTATTCATTCATGTCATAAATTTGGCATAACTTATATAATTAAAATCAGCCGTTCTCTAAACAAATTTTGGACACGGAGCTTTAGAGCGGCGGTAAACTTGGTCTGTATGATTGGAAAGTCATGGTTATATAGAGTTTGAAAAATATAAATGTATTTACAAAAATATAAGAGTAAAGTTGTGTAACTCATATTTCTGCCTGCAAATTGAGAAGCTTTGAGGGAATTTGCCCTTTTACCCTTTATTTTTTAGATTAACAACTTTTGGCAATTTTGCATTTTGATCCATGAACTACATGGGAAAATATGAATAATTGACTTGCTTAAGCTTTTTATTTATTTCAATACAAAAATGATTCGCAATAAGTCCTGTTGATTTTTTTATTTTTATTTTTTTTATATAGTCAGTTAACAAGTGAACTTCCTCAGCATTATGATTTATGAAGATTCCAACAGGAAAAAATATATTTATTATATCTACCAACCATTATTTCTTCCCTATTCTCATTAAATCCATCATATCTCTTGACTAAACACAGCTTTTGCTTCACTCAACTACTCTACTAACAACACCTGGATTAAACCTGAATATCTAAATTTAAAGGTTGATACCGTTTACAACATTTTTTTGTCCATGACCTTTTATTTTCTTGATCAAATATCAGCTTAATTCCTTGAAGATTGCTATTCCAACCACCCATCATTTTCTTCCCTAACCTCGCTGTATCATGCCTAAATATCTATATTTGTAGACTAACGAGATTCCTTCTGCATAACAAGTTCGGGTCATTGCCAGGGTATGTAGGGATTGTGAGCTGGTGGAATTGATGAAAAAGGACCTACTTGTACTTAAAATAAAGGACATGCATTTCACAGAGTTCACCTATCTTGGTAATTTTATTTTATTTTAGTAAATGTCTATCTTGTTATTTAATTGAAAATCACATAGGCAAAAATAAAATGAAGAGAGCCACCCATTCAAGAAAGACAATATAACTTTTTATTTTTTGTATGTGAAATATATTTCTATTTTGCGAAAGAAATTTTCGGCCACACTTGTATCAAAGTAGGTAGATGTCATAAATTTTTTCTCTCTTCTCTGTATAATGTGACTCATTCAATTTTATATAAATATGATCAAAAAAAAATTTCTACAGCAAAAACAAAAATATTAAACCCTTTTTGTATTAGATCAGCTTCAAAACTATTAATGAAGGCTCAATAATAGATTTGTATCTTTTAACATGTCCTCTAACTTGGTCTACTTGAAGCTAGAGAATACACAATTTCTTTTTTTGGGGTGAAAAATTAGGACGAGACTACTGCATTTCAAGATTAGGGCATCCATAATTCCATTTTTTTTTCTTGTTTTGAGATTTAATTTAGATATTTTAAAATGGGTGCGAGAACCACTTGATCTTAGATATTTGTTTGATGATTTGAGATGTGATTCCAAAATTAACACTAATCAAATAATCTATCTGAACTTTTATTTTCAAATAGGAAAAAAGGGAATTAAGAATATGAATAAGACATTAGAAGCAATTAAAAAGATCAGGAAGAGAGGCGGTGGCTCGCACATACTTAAATCTGTGTCTATTTAATAAAAGAGAAAAATTCATACATACGAAAACTTGGTGTATTACACTGTATTCTTGTATCAAAACAAAGCCAAAAACTTAGGATAATGAACAATACATATGAAGCAAATATCTATGTACACAGTTCTATCCTCTTGTACTCAAAGTTCATTTGAAGCAAATATCTATGAGATTTCTCATTTGAAACTTGAAAGGATCAGTGGAAATAGCACTGTATCTTCCATTTCCCTGCTTTAGAGTAAAACACCATATGGGTATGTATTGTTGACAGCATACAGTAGAATGATTCAAAACCCATTTAGTTCCGAGAACCCAAGCTGAAAGCATGCTTTTCTTTCATGATAATTTAGCTTTTCCTCATACACCACAACCCAAACCTCTGGCTTCTGATCCTTTCATTATTCTTAGTCTTTTGCAAGAAGTCACAAACATGCTGCACAAAAAGTATTATTCTATCAGCTTGAGATCAATTTATACCTGATGATTCAAACAAAAGCAGAGAGAAAGAGTTAGAGAACTTACTCCCATGGAACATCTCCAACTAACATCCAGTCACCATCCTTGTCTTCATACGTAGGTGCATAATCAGATCCCTTGTAACCTTCCTTTTCAGAGTACTCACCTGAAAAAGCAAAACCCATGTCATTCTCAGAATAAAAGAATTCATCAAGTAGTTTTCATCGCAACAAAAGACATAAAATTGAAAAAAAGAAAAGTAAAGTTGTTCTTAGTTCTCACCTATGGTCAACTTGAACATGTTTTCAAGAGCTTTAAGGAGTTCTGTATAGCCAACATAGACCCTCAAATCTATCTTTCTGAGGTAAGGTGCTCCATCCATGCTTACTTTAACATAAATCCCAGCAACCTCAGCCTTAGCCTCTTGCAAGCTATTTTTCCTATAGGATCTGATTGGTGGCCACCCCACTATTTTTGCCCTGTCATGTCAACATATTTCATTAATCAATTAACTCAAAAAAATTTAGATTCAAACAAAGAAATTTCATGCATCCCCTCTCATCAACAACAACATGAGAGAAAGGCTTTTTAAGTCTTAAATAATCTGTTAAACTTACTTGCTAGGAGGGGTTGAATCACTGTCCACATGTTGAGCATTAGAGCCCTTAGAACCACACTCCTTAGAAGTTTCAATCAATGGCCTTTTGTTGGTTCTAACACCAGCCACTGTTTTTTCCTCTGTCCCTGGCAGCCCCAATCTAAGCTCTGTTGCCTTGAAGTTGAGATCATTCTCATATGTCACCGTGCTTTCCATCTTCCTAGTAATTCAGAATTTCCCACCTCAATAACTATCCAAAATACTCTATGCAAAGCCAAGTCCTCTATAACTTTGTTATTCAACAATTGTATAGAAACAAAAAAATTGCTTATTGCTTAAGCTTCTCTTGGGTTCCTTGTGAGATGCTTTAAGACTAAAGATGAGATGTGATGCAAGTGTATAAGGTAATGTTTTATATATATGAAGATAAAGGAGGTACATAATGTGTATGAGTTGTGAGAGGGGCAATTACTTTGTTGCCATTGTTTGTTTGAATGCATAAATTATGGACAAAGACAAGCTAAGGTGTCGGTAGCAGGAGCAGCAACTTTAAAGCAACATGTCCCTACATTTGGAGGACAAGGGTGGGACAGAGTCACTCACCCTCTCTCCTATAAAGAAAAAGACTTTTGGGACGGTCAAGATGTGGTTTGGGAGAGAAATCAGGAGCGTTGGCTTTAAGAAAGAGCAAAGGAAACAGACCCATGTGAATGGAGGGTCCATCCTCGGAGTTGGTCATGGGCATGCGGGTCTCATTTTTTTAATTGCTCCAATGCCTTGTGGGGCCTTATTCCATGTGAACATCGTTCGAACTTGTAAGCACTTTTTCAACCAGCAAAAACAAAGAATTAAAAAAAAACAGTAATGTGCAATTCACATAATTTTACACGGAGGATTCTATGTTACTGATACTGATAAATGAAAAAAAAATAAAAATGGAATGATAATTATAAGAATGCATAACACTACTAGAAAATGTTTTTTTTTCGACGGCAAAATTCTGTCGAAAATGATGTTTTCGACGGAAATGAAGCCGTCGAAAATATCTTCGTGGGTAACAATTTTTTCGACAGAATTACAGATTCCGTCGAAAAATTTCGACGAAATAATTTCTGTGGAAAGTTTCAACGGAAAAATAATTCCGTCGAAAATTTTCGACAAAAAATGAACGAAATTCCGTCAAAAAATATTGTCTCAATTTTCGACGGAAAATAAATTCCGTCAAAAATTTTCGACGAAAATTGAAAAAAAATTCCATCGAAAAATCTTGTAATGATTTTTGACGGAAAACAAATTTCGCCAAAATTTTTCGACGGAAAATGAATAGTATTGGAATTGAACTAATTGTAAGCAGCAGCCCAACTCCGATGGTCGGATTGAAAATTCGTTGACAGTATTATTTGATTTTGTTCAGATAAAGACTCTGACAACTTTTTGTTCAATTTGAGTTAAAACTTGTACATTAAGATTTGTATATATATTTATACTTATCATGGTTGATTTTGTCTGAAATATTTGCAAATATATAAAGATTTGAATCCTCTTATGTGTAAAAATGATTATGTGGTCATATTATTTAATCTTAATCATTCATTTAAAAGTTACATATTTTTTTTCTCTCTTATCTTATCATCAATGAATGGTTGTAATCAAATAATATAATCACATGATCACTTTTTCACATAAGAGGATCCAAATTCAATATATAACTTCTTTAAAAAAAAAATACGTGCAACAATTAAATTAGAGTGGATACTATATCAAAATCTTAATGCAATTATATTTTTACTTGAATTTGCGAAATAAAAAATTGAGCTATCAAGTCAGTAGGGATTAGTTAATGGTGAGATTAAATTAATTTACTGGGGATCATGAGATGAAACATTCTTTTTATAAAAATGGCCACGTAATAATCACCAAATACCTAGATGATTGTTCTAGTTTAATTAATGATCTCGAGTCGAATTGTGCATTTACAATTACAAAATGATCACAATGGAATAAAAAAAAATGGTACATTTTGGATTTACCTTGTTTATATTTTATTTTATTTTTCTTATTTTGAAATGACCAAGTACTAAGTATGAAAAGAGAAAGGGAGAAGCATGTTGCTTAAGGATTGATCTTGTTTGTTGACTAACGTAGTTATTATTTTTGTTGATACAGTGACAAGAGTTTAAAGTGTAGCTAAATACAATGTTATAAGTTTAAATTTTATTTTGTTAATTCTTAGAGTAAGACTCATTTACTTTTATTATCCTAATCATGACATGGATGGCTACTTTTAATTAGATTAAAAAAATAAATTAGTTCAATTGCACACTAATAAGCTTAATATTGTCTTACTGCAAGATAAGCTGGTGTAATTTTATAGTTATATTAATTATTTCTATTAATAAAAACGATGCAAAAATTAATATCTCGTCAAAATGTCCACATATGTATATATTATCTTGCCTCTCATTAAAGTCTATTTTTCCAAATTTCTATGTCTTTGGTCCTTATTTTCCAGGGCCATTATTAATTATTAATTATATAACTTTTTATCGCGTTAATTCTTAATGACTTTCCCATAAAACCAATTTTAAATTTATAATATCCATTTATTAGTTATGCTTTATTCATAATAGATCAAGCAATTTCTGTATTTTAGATTGATAATGTTCCAAGAAATATTCAATGAAATAATTATTCTTCGATTAAGAAATAAAGTACCAAAGTATTAAAAACATGTAATGTAAGGGATAGGTTATTCTACCTACTATCAATTTACCTACCCCTCTCAACATCGTTGGATTACGATCTCATCTGACGGTTCAGATTTAAAATATAAATAAAAACCTTTTACAATTTTCTCTCTTTCTCTCACTTACTCCACCCTTATTCTCTCCTTCCCTGCGATGAAGAAGACGCAACTCTCTCCTGCCAGGCATTGACATCTTTCACTCCCTTCCATCCCGAATCTGTCTTCTTCACTCTCCAATACGTAAACGATTAGTATCATTTTTCCACTTTCAATTCTCAATTTCTGTAATTGCCTCTATTTTTTTCCTAAATCATTGTAATTTTTTTTCTCTCTATATATATATTTTTTCCTGCGTCTTTCTTCATCGCAGGGAAGGAGAGAATAAGGGTGGAGTCAGAGAGAGAAAGAGAGAAAAGAGTAAAAGGGTTTTTATTTATATTTTGAATCTGGATCGTCAGATGAGATCGTAATCCAACGATGTTGAGAGGGATAGGCAAAGGTAGGTAAATTGGGAGTAAGTAGAATAACGTATCCCGTAATGTAAATGCATAAAAAAATTATAGTTTTGTTTTCAATAACTTAAATTACTCTACGTATCGGTATACTTTTTAGAACTTTTGAATAGATTTTAATTGCAAATAGGCTTCTATATGTTGTTTAACTAAATTTTCAATTAGGTTGCTACCAATAATAAAATCTCACAATCAAGTTCATGAAACCTATTACAGGAATAAACGGTCTGCAGATAATTATAAGCACCCATTAATGGAGTCTAAACTGTTAACCAATAAGACTATATTTAAGAATTTTAAAGTAAAGAAATTCCGTTAAAAACTATAAGAATTTATTTAAAAATTCAACGAGGGGCGGGGCTATTTCGCATTCAAATATGCTATTCATGTTGGGATGGGTCCCTCAAATTCAGCGTGGAAGCGAATTGTAAGTTGGCACGTTGAGCTTGGCTCTTTGAGGTTGTCCTGAAGTTATCAAGTCGGTCAAAAATTGAAAGAGCTTGCACCGATAAATATGATGAATGCTAGCATTAAAGGAAGGAATCACCCCAAAAATTCTCCCTAATTTTTATTTGTTATGATAGTTTTAAATTTATCTTCATTTAAAACTTCAAAAAATTAATTTTTATTAATTATGTATTATATATTCTTATTCCTCAAATAACGTTCTTTTTGAAACCTTTTTCTTTTATAAATTATCACCCTTCATCTCCCCCTGCTTTTTTTTTCTCTAGATTATCTTTTTAGTTTACTTTTATGGCGATTCAACTTTTCATAAAAAAAATAAGATCAAATTTAAAAACACATCCTACATACAAAATTAATTACTGCTTGAAAATTTTTACGTACCTCTTTATAATTAATAAATTCATAATAATCCAATCACCAAAAAATATGAAGTGATTTAAAAAGAAAGATAATATATCAAATATAAAGTTATTTTACCAAAGCTCTTTTCTTTTAAAATTCACTTTTTTCAATACGCAAACTTGAAAAAGAAACAGTTCATTTTTTTTAACCACATTTAAGATTTATTTACATGCAAAAATATTAATTTATAATTGCATAAAATATAAAACCATCAACTCATTTTTTGATGAAAATAACTTCAATGTGGATGGGTGGCAACTTTGGCAAACAATTTTTGTTATATGTAATTTTTCTTTAAGTCAAGTCTCACCTAATATGTTGAGTAAAATAAAATTGACTTGGGCGCCTAAGAAAACAAATAATTAAAAAGGATGTTATTGGTTTACTTTTAGGGAGAAATATTCATGCTGAAATATTTTTTCTTTCACATTTATATAAAATTGAGTAGATCTTATTGTGAATAGAAGGGAGAAATTTTTTTAGCAGAATCTATTATTTTTACGTGAATGTAACAAAAAAGAATTTTCTACAACAAAAGGAGAAATCTTAAAACCTTACTTTTATGAAATTAACGTTTCTTCAGTAATATAAGATAAACTTATTTTTTACAACCCAAAACAACGTAGTTTTGGAGTTTGAGAAAAAAAGTGTAGGGTATTTAGTAAAATTTATAATATAAGAAGAAAATAAAATTTCTAAAATACCCTTAATTGTTTTTTCCTAAACCCTAAAATAATGTCATCTTAAAATTGTAAGAGCTTATTTTATCTGTTGTTGTTGGAGAAATTTCCTACTTTTATATATATTTATAGGGAAAAGTGTTTATCTTTTTAAATGACACAACTTATATCCTTTCACTCTCACAAAGAGGTGGGACCCACACCTTTATTTTTTTGTCAACTCTCTCTTCTTTTATCTATCTCTTTCTCTCTTTTAAAATGACACAACTTTACATCCTTTAAAATGACATACACTTTACCCATATTCATATACAATCTGTCATGTTATGACCTGAATGCATGTATTCCATCCACTCCTAACTGACTTGAAATTTTTTTTTATTTTTTTTTATTTCTTCGTTGATTTATTGATTATCCGACCAATTTAATTTGAGTTTGGTAGTTCTTTATTCCCGGAACTTAAACTTAAGACTTTTTATTAAGGTAAAGAAATTTTTTATCACTTAAATTAATAATTATGGGTGAATAGTAGTTCTTTTTAGTTTAGCTGTACAAGGTTGTTCTACAAACCCTTAGATTACGCCACAAATTAAATACTTCAACTTTAATTGTATTGCCAAATAAATAATATTATT